CGCCATCGATGTCCATGGCGGTCGCATGCTCGATGGCGTTGAGGACGCTCATATCAGCAAGTCGTTTCGCGACACCCAGTTACTGCTCTGTCAAGGTATTAGCTCGATCGTCCTCGAGGTATGACACGCGACGCGGGAACAAGCTTTCCACTGTCCATAGTCGTACTAGTATCACAAGTTGATCCAAGAATGCAGTGGACGACTTGTCTAGCCCACGCCACTTTGTCCGTCGATCTTTCATACACTATATAATGATAGTCACAGTATATCCGTCGACCACCTCAACTGGAAATGATATCTTTTTGGCCAATCACCACAGCGCCACCTCGTAGCGTGCCAGGAGTGGCCAAAATCCTGTCTTTTTCGAGCCATGGACGCGTTTGATTGGAGCATTTGCAAGCTCACAAAGTTGACAGCCCATTGTGGCAATTGACGCTGTCGGATGATCCAGAGCCTCTTCATCATCACGCCGACAGGCGAGATCATCATCGAGAAGCACTGGCGGGGCACGACCAACCGCAACGTGTGCGACTTCTTCGTCGAGGAAGTCAACAAGTACAAGGCGCGCGAGGTACAGCCGCCGTCGCTTCAAACGGCCACGTCATGCCATGTTGTAGGACGTGCCGCCGGTGATTGCGACCGCCAAGCACTACTTGATTAGCGCCTTCCGCGAGCAGCTGTACATCCTCGCTGTCGTGACCAACGAGGTACGTTGTGGGCATCGTCACCAACGGCTAAATGCTGGCACAGGTGTCGCCCCTCGTCGTCATCGAGGTCCTCCACCGCGTCGTCGCTGTCTTCCTCGATTACTTTGGCAAGTTTGATGAAAGCGCCATCAAGGACAACTTCTCGACGGTCTACCAGCTCCTCGAAGAGATGCTCGACAATGGCTACCCGCTGACGATGGAGCCCAACGCGCTCAAGGCCATGGTCGCGCCGCCGTCGACCGTCAACCGCCTCACGGCCATGGTCTCGGTACGGCTCGTATGCAGCATCACACGCTGTGCGAGCGCATTTCGCCTAGGGCAAGTCGCGCGTCAGCGACGTGCTGCCGGACGGTGCGGTGTCGGACATGCCGTGGCGCAAGGCTGGCGTCAAGTACACCCAGGTACGAGAATCGCCTTTCCGAATCTTTGCTCAGGCTCGACGCAGAACGAAATCTACTTTGACATTGTCGAAGAGATCGACGCGATCGTCGATACTCATGGCCAAATGATCTCGTGCGAAGTTAACGGCGCCATCCACGGCAACTGCCGGCTCTCGGGCATCCCAGATCTCACCATGGTCTTTACGGACCCGTCGGTCATTGACGACTGCTCGTTCCACCCGTGCGTGCGCTACTCGCGCTATGACCGCGAGCGCGTCATCTCGTTTGTGCCGCCGGACGGGCAGTTTGAGGTACGTGCACAATTGATACTTTTTGTTTTATGGAAATTATTGTCGATAGCTCATGCAATACCGCGTGCAAGTGCAGCAAATGGTGCCGCCGATCTACTGCCAGCCGAGCGTGTCGTACTCGGACCGCGGCGTCGGCACGCTCGAGCTCATGATTGGCCAGCGCAACATGCCGACACTCGTGGCCAACTCGGTGAAAAAGTCGTTTGCTGGTATAGACAAGATTCTCCATTCGAGTGTTCAATATTGTCAAACAATACGCTAGCCGAAGAGATCACGGTCGAAGTGACGTTCCCAAAGAGCGTGCGCACGGTCGACGCCAACACGGACGTGGGCAGCTGCCTCTTTGACGACGCCACCAAGGTACATTAGTGCCGTCGATCTCTGCTTCCAACAACGTTGGTTAGACGCTGAAATGGACGGTCGGCAAGATCAACCCCAAGAAGATCTTGACACCGACGCTGAAGGGCAACATTGTGCTCGTGCAGAACGCAGCCATTCCTGGTACGTGGTTGGAGTTGCGAGACGTTGTGACGGAGTGTTGTATGACGTAGATGAAAAGCCGATTGTGCTCCTGGGCTTCAAGGTGCCCATGACTACGGTGAGCGGGCTCACGGTCGAGACGCTCGTCCTCTCGAACGAGCGCTACAAGCCGTACAAGGGCGTGCGCACGCTCACCAAGGCCGGTCGCTTCCAAATCCGAACCTAGTCAGTTGATACCGCAACGAACACAATACGATGGCAACCGTGTGTTTCAAGTCGTCTTGGCCGCCAATTACATTGCAAGCATCTGCGTCGATAGATGATGCTCTTTGGAGTAGAGAACCTCCCTGGCCACCGCGCTGAGGTGTTATCGCTATGACGTGAGCTCGAGAACAATGACCTTGACAAGCCCAAGCGCTGCCCGACGACCCGTCATGCATACATGTGGCTATCCGACGAGACGCTTTGAAGCTGCTAGCTGGCTGCTGTCGAATGCAGCGTGGTTGTAGCTGCTCGTCGAGTGCTTTGACGTCAAAGCCAAGAGCTCGAGAGTCGTGCGCATGGATGACAGCGTCGGGACTGGATTTCTTACCGGATTCAAAGTATCCAAAAGCCTCGTGGATAATCCTAATGCCTACAATCCGACGCACCACAAAAATATTTCAACTGTCAGGTTGATGCGCGTCGAAGATACGGCTTTTGATTGGCCAAAATCCGTTGCGAGAGAGCTTGCCTTCATTCTGGCATTGCCCATGCGATACGCAGCGCTCTCTCTGCTCGCCGCCAGCGCCGCCGCTGCCCTTCAGCGCACGACCGGATGGCTCCACTGCCCGCTGCGCTACTCAGCCTCCGTCTTTGCCAAGGACTGGCGCAACGCGACCTGCGCCACCTTTGACGCACCGCTCTGCTACCCCGGCACGTGCGCCTCGACGACGACCAACATCTCGGTCTTTGTCAAGCGCCTCGAAGCCGTAAACGGAGCCTCGCCCAAGGCCATTTGGCTGCTCCAAGGCGGGCCCGGCGCGTCGTCCATCAACAGTACGAGTTTTCTGCGAGACGATCACCATGATGGTATTGCTCACATCATGGATGTAGTGGAAGGCTACATGCAGAATCTGTACGTCGCCCTCAACAAGAGCGTGAGCGTTTACACGATGGACCACCGCGGCACGGGCAAGAGCACGTACTTGGACTGCGCGACGACGGAAGCGACAACCAACGGCAGCCCGTGGGGAACCTCCATTAGCCCCTCCGAGCTGCCCGAGTGCCTCCGCAACGTCCGCCAGATCTATGGCAACGACGCGGCCGCGGGCTTTTCGTCGCATAGCGCGGCCAGCGATGTGGCGGCTTTGATTCAGACGCTCACGCCGACTGCCGAGACGTACGTGTACGGTGTTAGCTACGGCACGCACTGGGTGCGCCGGCTCATGGCACTCGACCCTCCGACGGTCCACGGCTACATTTTGGACGGCGTCTCGGGCCTGTTTTCCCGCTGGAATCTCGACTACCTGTCGGAAGGTACATTGAAAAGTTGTTTGTCTGTGAACCTCACGCATACGATGTGGGATTGTAGTCGACACGTACTTTGACTATTGCACGAAGGACGCCACGTGCCGTGCCAAGCTCGGCCACGATCCTGCCAAGGTCCTCCGTGACCTCTACCATACGCTCGATACGAACGCGACGGCCCGGTCCGCGGCGTGCGTACGCGCACTTCCCAACTACTTGAACGCTGCCGTGCCGCCGTCGTGGGCCCTCCGGCACCGCCTCAAACTCCTTCTCGCCGCCGGCGTCGGGTTCCAGGAGCTCATCCCGATTTTGATCTACCGACTCCACCGGTGCTCCCGCAGCGACGAAGCTTTCTTGGCCGCGTGGAACCAGCGGCTCGCGTTGTCCAACTTTTTAACGAAGAACGACGACGGCGCCAACGACCAAGACCGCGACAGCTCGGCGCTGCTCTATGGCGCCGTCGCGTACTCGGAGATGTGGGAGCAGCCCGTGCCGTCGCGAGCCGAGCTCGAATCTCGCTTTCTCAACAACCTCTTTGGGTTCAATCTCACGACACAGTACCACGACTACTGCGTCTTCACCGGCGCCACCACCGACATTTGCAACGGCATCGACCAACCACCGGATGTCACCTTTACGTATCCGTCCAAGCTTCTCACGTCGCCGACGCTGCCGTCGCAGAGCTCCGTGCTCATCTTTGCCGGCGCCCTCGACACCCAAACGCCGCTCAGTATTGCTGTCAACGTCACGCGCGACTTTCACAGCAACGACCGCGCGCGGCTCGTCACCTACCCCTACGCCGGCCACAGCTGCCTCCTGCGCACCTCGGTGCAGAGCCCGGTGCGTTCTCCTTCGTAGCATGCAACGGAATCTCATTCTATCCAACTAGGGTCAGCCCACATGCGCGACGACGGTGCTGGCGTCGTATGTAGCGCATGGCGGCAACATTGCGCAGCTCAACACGAGCTGCCTCGACGACTTGGTCCCCACGGCGTTCACCCTCTCGGCCGCCAAGGCATTGGACACATTCGGGGTCCGTGACGCGTACGAAGGCAACGTCACGACGCTGGTCGTTGCCTCGTCGATGACGATGACGACGCAGGAAGCGTCGCTGGACCAAACGAGCGCGCTTGTCATTGCCAGCGGCTGCATTTGTGTCGGCCTCGTGTCCATTGCCGTCGCACTCCTCCTCCGACGTCGCTCTCGAGCGACCAGTGCCGTCCTTGTCCGTCAGGAGCCGTCTAATGTCTGTCATTTTTGCCGTTAAACATGCTGCTTCTGTGAGAAACTGGTTGATCGTGTGCGTTGTTTGAGACGTCATGACTACTGCGGCGGGTAGTACAGAGCGGACCATGTCTTGGCCGCCTCCTTCACCAGCGTGACGACGACCTCTTGCGGAAACGCGGGGTCGATTGCAATCGCGGGTGTGTAGAAAGGACTTGCCTCTTTCTGCGGACCAATCTCCCAGTCGAGGGACCGCAAGAGCACGCGGTGGGTGAGGCGGACGTGGGCGCGTGGGATCGTGTCGACTACGATCGTGAGCCAGTGACTCTACGCACGCATAAGCAGACAACTTGTCCATTTCGGCGTACCTTGTCGGCAGCTTCGGTCGAAAGGATGTTGACGCCCTTTTGCACGATGCGCGGTCGGACAGGGATGTACACGTACAACTCGGTCCGTGTCTGCGTCCAGCCAATGTGGAGTTTCGAGTCCACGGCCCGCGACAAGATCGACGCGTCATCGGGGACGTCCCGGCGTCCGTCCGAGTCGAACGCCTCGGTGGCGGCGTCCAAGAGGCTGGTCGCACGGGTGCTTACCTTGCGCGTCATGATAGAAATGACCAAAAATACCCCCCCCGTTTCAACAGGCGGGGGGCACTATCGTCGATCAAGTCGTCCACTCCACCGACGGTGTGGCCTCCACGAGCAACATACTTGCGTCTTTTCTCTCCATAAGACAGCTGGCCACGATGCACATATTGTCTTGTAGGACAAACATGCAGTGTCGAAAACACTGTTTTCACCAGAATCTCGGCGCTCCAGCTCTCAAAATAGGCACTTGATGCATTTTGAGTTGCATCGTCGGTAGCATGTCGAGTGCTGACGTCCACGCGACCTTCTGGGACGGCGTCCAAGGCGCGATCAAGACGTCGCCAATAGACGCACTCGAGATCCTGAAACGCTACATGGAGCTGGTCCTGGCGCGCCACGACTTTGCTGACGGCAGCCGCTACGTTGACGCGGCGTTGGATCTACTGCGCACCGTTCTTGGCCCGGACGACACCAATGTCGTTCAACTCTCTCTTTTGGTGTCGAGAGGTCACGATCGTGTTTTGATACTAGGTACAGGCCATGTACGAAGAGCACATTTTGTGCTGCAACGCGGTCGCCATGCAGTGTCTGAGCCAAGGTAGACTCTGCATCAGCACTAACAACGCGGGCCCACTCGTGTGTAGAGCAATCGGACGAGGCACTCGCGCTTCTCACGATCGCCGACCAGCACACAGCGCCGGACGGGCCCTTGTACTCGAACGCCGCGACGCGCAAGCGGCTCCGCGCCATCACGCTCAACAACTTTGCCTGCTACGCCAGAAAGTACAACAATATTGTCATTCGACATTGTTCAATCTGGGGTGGACTAGGCACGGACAACTGCACGCTGCGATCCAGTACCTCGAGAAGACGCTCGCGCTCGAGTCGTCGGCGGGGGCGACGGCCGAGAACCCTGCGGGGACGCACCTCAATATCTGCGCCATCTTGTCGGCCATGGGCCGGCATCTCCGTGCGGCCGACCACGCGCGCTGTGCGGTCGAGCTTCTCTCGCATGAACGCGGCGCAAGGGACGGAGTGGAAGGCAAGACAGCGTCCGATAGCCTCCTCGCGATCGCGTACTTTAACTATGGCGCCGAGCTCGAGCACCAGAACAAGTACGACCTTGCCGCCACCGCATATGCCAACGGTTGCGCTTCCTATCTCTCTTTAAAGCACTTAGAGATCAAAGCAGGGTACGAAGTAGCGCGGGCCGAGCTCGATCCGAACCATGCGATGACGCAAGCACTTTTGCAAGCTCGAACTGACGCTCAAGACAAGGTGGCGACTCGGAAAGGGTATGGGTCCAGTGCGGCTATGGTGGTGAGCCCCCGGCGCAAGTAGTGGCTCCACACCGTACCAAAACGGTAAAACAACGAGGAAGATCGGACTAAAGAAAAAGTTCTGAAGAAAAATAAGATGTTTTCTGCGCCTTTTGTCGTTTGATCACCAACAGCGAAACTCTAACGATGCATCCACCAAATGCACAACTTGTACTTGTAGCAACAGAAAAGATACGTTGCATAAACTCTATGAATGATGGGGAAAGCTCGACGATCCTTTTTACATGCGAATTTGGAACCGGCCCGACTTGGTCAGCGTGCGCACGCCCTTGTACGGCTTGTACGACTCGTTTGTGAGCACGAGCGTCTCGACCGTGAGCCCGCTCACCGTCGTGAACGGCACCTTGAAGCCCAAAAGCACAATCGGCTTTTCATCTGCAGGAATGCCACGTCAATATTGTCCTTCAGACACATGGTACACACACATAGCATACCCGGAATCGCTGCGCCAAGCTGCAAGAGCACCGAGCCCTTGAGCGTCGGCGCCACGTTCTTCTTGGTGTTGAGCTTGCCGACGTTCCACTTGATGGTCTAGCACATAATCGATATACAAGTCGCGTCTGTCGCGAGGTACTTTGGTCGAGTCATCGTAGAGGCAACTGCCGACTTCCGTGTTGGTGTCGACCGTGCGCACGCTCTTTGGAAACGTCACTTCGACCGTAATGTCTTCGGCTACTCGCCAAATAGTTAAAGAAGAAGGACTAGAGACGTGTCGCAGAATACCGAGAATGGGTTTTTCGTATTGGAGACGAGCGTCGGCATGTTGCGCGAGCCCAACGAGAGCTCGAGCATGCCGACACCCTTCTCGGACCACTTGATGTGCGGCTGGCAGTAGATCGGCGGCACCATTTGCTGCACTTGTACGCGGTATTGCATGAGCTATAGACAATATTGTCTATCAAAACAAAAAGAATCAATTGTGCAAGTACCTCAAACTGCCCGTCGGGCGGGACGAACGACACGACGCGCTCGCGCTCGTAGCGAGAGTAGCGCACGCACGGGTGGAACGAGCAGTCGTCAATGACCGACGGGTCGACAAACACCATGGTGAGGTCCGGCACGCCCGAGAGCCGGCTGTGGCCGTTGATGATGCCGTTGACTTCGCACGAGATCATTTGGCCATGAGTATCGACGATCGCATCGATCTCTTCGACAATGTCAAAGTAGATTTCGTTCTGCGTCGAGCCTGAGCCAAGATTCGGAAAGGCGATTCTCGTACCTGGGTGTACTTGACACCGGCCTTGCGCCACGGAATGTTGGAGATTGCGCCGTCCGGCAGCATGTCGCTGACGCGCGACCGACCCTATAAACATGGTTCGCGATCGATGTCATGGAGGCGTCGGCGGTACCGAGACGATGGCGGCAATGCGGTTGACGGTCGTCGGCGGCGCGACCATGGACTTGAGCGCGTTGGGCTCGGTCGTCAGCGGGTACCCATTGTCAATCATCTCTTCGAGGAGCTGGTAGACGGTCGAAAAGTTGTCCTTGATCGCATTCTCGTCAAACGTGCCAAAGTAGTCGCGGAAGACCGAGACGACGCGGTGCAGCAGCTCCATGACAATCAACGGCATGATCTACGCGCCACGCGGCGTGTCGTCAGCACATGGCATACCGGCCAAAGTCATCTACCTCGTGCGAAATGACGGCGAGGACGAAGAGGCCTTCACGGTAGACGTTGATGAAGTAGTGCTTGCTCGTGTTGAGGATCGGAGGCACCTCCTATGCATGACCACGGTACATGCCACCTTGGTCCGTGTCCATGCAGTGTGCTACCTCGCGCAGCTTGTACTTGTTGACTTCGTCGACGAAGAAGTCGCACACGTGGCGGTTCGTCGTGCCCCGCCAGTGCTTCTCGATGATGATCTCGCCCGTGGACGTGAGGATGAAGAGGCTCTGGATCATGGCGGCGGCGCAGCGACGGAGCGCAAACGAGGTCGATGACCACAAAGCCGACTTTCGAAAAACAGACCTCGAGGCCAGGATCCGGATAGTCGACCATTTACGCCGGATAAACCATCGAAAATGACACGGTGTCGATGATCGTCCGCTTGACCCGATCAGAGAGCGTCATAGAACTCAAGGTTCGCCACAACGGGCGGCTCAACTTCACAGCAGATATCAGCACACCGCAAGGTGATTCGCTCTCTCCGGTGCTCTCCGTCGTGTACCTCGAGGCAGCCCTCCGCGACCTGGCGGCAACGGCGCCATTGTATACGACGACGACGTTGACTTTATGTTCAATCGCCCGGAAGATGTAGCTCGACTCGAGCACCACCCTCCCAACGCGCTCGCGCGCTTGTCTCTCCTCATGGACGTAGACAAGACGGAAGAGACGACGCTCAAGCGCCGTGGAACCTCCAACAGTATCCTGTCGAGGTATCTTCTACTCAGTATGTGCGCCCGAGCTGCACCGTGGCGCACGATGAGGAAGCTTGGGACGCTGCTCGGCGATCACGAAGAGGTCGCGCACCGAAAGCCTTGGTCCGCGTCGCGTTCCGCAACATGTGGCGCCTCTGGGTCGGCCGGGACATCATCCGCGGGGAGATGTGGCTTGGGCTCTACAACGTGTACGTGCTCCCGACGTTGCTGTACAGCTGCGACGCCAGGGCACTCACGGCTGCCGACGCTGATCGGCTCGAAAGCCTCCACGGGCAACAGCTGCATCAACTCATCGGCGTTTGCTACCCGCACCGCATCTCGAACAACGCTTTGAATGAGCGCTGCCAGACCAAGCCACTTCGCTCCCGGCTCGCCCAAGCTGCCTTTTTGGTCGCATCCTTCGCAGCTCGCCCGACATCGCGGCCAACCTCGCGATGCGTGAGTATTTTGGGCGCTCAGGCGCTGCACCGTGTCCTCACCGCCAGGGCACTGCCAAGGACCTTTGGGCGGCTGACTGAGGCGATCGTTGACGCTTGTCCCGGCGTACCCACGCACGACACTGTCTAAAACTTCCATGCACGCCTGCGACGATCGTTCTGAATCAAGCATACAGCCAGCACTGCTGTGTTGATTAATGCGAATAAACGTAATATCTACTATGTATCTGTGCCGTCGGCCATCAAACCCAGACCAGTGGTCCGCCCTATCTCTGCATATGAGATATACAGGGAGCTGCGGGAAGGTGCGTACACGCGCTCGCTTTCAAAGGGCGAGGACCTTGGACCGGTACTCGCACTGCTTGGCACTACGTACAGACATCAGTTATACTGCCAAACACTCATCAAAGGGGGCAGCGTACGTTCGGCGGGGAACCATCTCGGCTACCGTTGTCCAGCGCCGCCACGTCGTGTCCTCGATGGCTTCCAACGCCTCGCGAAGCGCCTTGTCTTCGTCCTCGCTCCATGTCCCTTTCGTGCGCTCTTCTTTGTCCGAGTCTTCCCATCGCTGCCGGCACTGCGTATGGACACGACCTGGCACGTTCTCCGCAATGGCCTACATGGCATGGCGCGATTCAGCGACGTCAACCACCAAAGGCGACGGGTGCACCTTCCACTTGCCACTGAGGGTACCGTCCGGGTTTTCGGCTTCAAACATGGCGACTGCAACCTTGAGCGCCTCGACCTACGAGGGCATGAGCAATGCTGTGGCATGCTATCGAGGCCATGAACCTGCTCTTCGGTCCATGCGGAGCGCTCGCCCTTCTTCTTGGGCGCCGGCGACACTGTGCTCATGCTGTGGCTGTTGGTTAAAAACACTGTGGGTTCATCCATGTCGCTCTCCGGGCGCGCGTTGGTGGTCGCCACTGGGTGCATCGCGAGCGCATCGGCTGCGTACTGGGCATTGATCGACACTGGAGACGTCGGGTTGGCCGTGAACGCGGCTTCATAGTTCCAGCCCAAGTTGTGCGCCGCTGGCTGGGACGCGATCGGCAGCGACGTCGGTGGCAATGCGTACGAATGCATCATGGGAGGTGCCATCATGTTGCGTTGCATTTCTTGGTTGGCGAGAACGCAGCGCAGCGTTTGGACTTGGGCGACGGTCGTGCTTGTCTCGGCCGGCGAGACCGCCATGCACTGGGCCACGAGGTCCAAGAAGGCCATGATGTCACTAGGATGCGCGGCCTCGGCGATCTTTCTCAAAAGCGACTGCAACCGCTGGGTGGCCGTCGTCCACGACTCGACGGGGTCGTTTTCGAAGCAAGGCGACTGGCTCAGATAGGAGAAGTCGGGCTCGTCTCCGATCCAAGGCGGCTCGCTCAAAGGGAAGAAGGCGGGGTCGAGCACTGTGACCTAGTACAAGGATCGTGAGCGACGTTGACACAGGACTACTGACCTGCTCCTGGGTCGGTGCGGCGCCTTCGCAAGACCATGGCATCGTCTCCATTGCTGGCGAATTCAAGAGTGTGTACAATTGTAGCCCTCAAGATTTGCCTTTCCGGATTCTCATTCAAATATACAGTGTTGCATTATCCGTAAATACTTTTTGAAGCAGCCAATCGCAGGGACTAGGCACGACTGGCTGGAGGCGATTTTGATTTTAAACCTGTTTCGATACAAAAACCTAATGTATCTTTTTTGAAATATGATCAATGTTGCAATCTATCAACCGTGTTGACGAAACGCCTCTGCACGCAGTGCCGCCACCAACGGCCCAGGCCAGTGTTGATGCTTTCGGAGTGGCGCCGTCTCGATGCGCGCGTGGTCCTCGAGTTTTCAGGAATGAAAATTAGAGTTCCTACGTGGTTTAGCCCCTACCTAGGTAGAGGGGGCTACACTAGAGTCCAGTGAGTGATCGGTCACGTCGTTGACGGCGCCATGTCGAACGCGTGGGGTGCTTGGCGCGCCGGCGACCGACCACCCGTTTGTCCTAATACGTTGCACCGGGCCGCGACGCTTGTCGAAGGCAGCATGCGCCGTGGCCGAGCCCGAGACAAGATTTGCGCTTCGACGCCTGGCCGAGACGGCAAAGCCCGCGCGCTTGGTGCGCCGGACAAAATACGTGTTGCAATGCAGCGCGTCCGCGCGAGCTACTGCCGAGCCATGGACCGACGCCTGTCACCGGGAACGCGGAGGCGGTGCATCGTAGCTTGGCTGTAATCGCCCGCAACATGAGGGGATCGTCATCCGCGCGCGACTCGTGACCATTAGCGCTTGGTCGTCGTGGCGCGAGATACCGACGGGCGCAGGACCAGCCGCGGCGAGTTCGGCGGGCCATGGCGATTTGGGCCAGGGCCGGGGTCAGCTCCGGGTACCGCCACCTGCCGATTCGGTAGCGCCACAGACTATGAGGTGTCGATAGGTCTTGCTTCTTCCTTGCGCACAAGCGTTGCGTTGACTGCTTTTTTGGCGGCTACTTGCCGCTGGCCGAGCGCATCGAGATGCTTGCGAGCCTCAGCCGTCCGTTTCTGAAATGACTGCATGGAAGACCCGTGACAGATGATAAATGGTAGATCAACTGTTAGAGTTCTGACCAAGTGTTTTTATCTCAAGGTCGCTTCAACGCACTCAGCCTACAAATCGATACCACGTGTCGTTAAAAGAGGGTATTATATTATTTTATGCAGCATGGATTAAAAAGCCGCCCATTTTAAAATTCACAGGTGAAAAAATCAGAGGGAATTTAATTCTTTTTTGTAGCGAAGGCATAGGCAAATGCCAAATAAATAGTGGAAACAGAATGGCCTCGACGTGCTCATTTCTATTACTTTTTCAGATCGGACGACGAATTGAGTCCGATCTGAAAAATAATTTGCCCATGGTACCGGTATGTCCTGCGCGCTCCGTCGCCTCCAACCTCGTAATATTGCACGCATCTCTCGCTGTCAGGCAGCTATCTGCGATGGCGCATGTCACGCTGGACGATTGCGTGCCGACGTTCTGTACCATGCTGGTGGCAGCGCGCGACTGTGGCTCACCCGTCGCAAATGACCGAGCAAGCCCTATTGCATGCGCCTTGCATGGGTGTAGGCAAGTAGGCCAGCATCGGCCCTTGCTCGCGGCCGTTCGTGCTAACAGCATTGACCCTACATGTTATCTGACGTCGCAACAGGAGGCACCGCGTCGACGCGTTGCTTTGGTGCCAGCAGTGCTGCCACGTCATCCCGCGGGATTGCATCCGGATATTGGATCCCTGTGAAATTACATGCATCGCGTCTGACAGGGAATCTAAGATCTGGTTGACGATGGAAGCGTACCTGCGCTGTGGCACGGGTACGTCGTCGCGCGACCGCCTTGGCGATAGCGCCTGAGCGTAGGCTGGCCGCTGCTTCCGCCCTTGCTGGACGCTTTGGCAGCGCAGCACAGCGCACTTCTCGACGATCTGGTGCGGCGCCATCGTCTGCTGCTGGCCTTTTCACGTCCGCGTACAGGTGGGCCTCGCATGTGAGCTCCAGCCGACAGCCTCGCTGCTCGAGCGCATGGCCAGGGTACAACCTGCCTCCACGCACTACAATGGTTCCATCGCATGATGCAGGAGCCAAAGCTTTGCCTCCGCGACCCGACGAATAGTGCACGCAGTATCGCTGCCGGGCTCCAATTCATCGTTCGGTCTGGCGATCTCGAGCTTCGTGCTTTTACACAATACATATAGGGGCTTGACGCTTCAAAAGCTGCAGTATCCTTTGGCGACGATGGGACCCGAGGTGCAGGCTAGCCACGAAGCGGCATGGGAGGCCTGTCTGGCCAGTCTCCGTGCCGCCTTGGGCTTCATTCGCCACCGCGATGCGATTGCACTCATGCTCCTCAAGCGGTGGAAGCGCCAAGTCCGCGGCGACACGTCCATGGCCGCGACAAGTCGTCTTGCTAATTTGGACTGGCAGCTCGGTGTGCGATTCGCACCACCCATGGCGCCGTCCGTGCACGTGACCATGAAGTGGACCGTCCAGGACGCGAATGGCTCCAAGAATGTCTACATCCAGGAGCTCCCGGTGCACGAGTTTCGCGTATACCACGCCCTTGCACCCGTCGCCTCATCGTCGTTGTAGGCGCTGCGCGCACAAGCACAGGCCGCCGCCGCGGTCCTCGCAGCCAGCTAGCCCCTCGACGTCGACATGCGATCCGCCGGACGCGCCCCCACTTGATACATACTTGATACATCACAATGGACGATGGTATATCGTGTAGTATTGCGTCATGTCGGCCGTGTGGCTTGGTGTAAATTCTTGAGCAAGAGGCAGACTATGCAGTCGAATGGCTCGACGAAGCAGCAACCAAGGAGACGTACCACGTGTGAGCATGTGCATGGCGTCGTTGATGGCGACGAGGCAGCTGGCCGCGTGCTCGCCCTTCTTGAACGCCACGACCAGCGTCGCGTTGGCCTCGATCGCGCTGACTTGGATGCTGCAGTTGCGCGCGCCTTGGATCGTCACCGACTGTGCATTGTCCCCGACAAAGGCCACTACACCATGTATGAGCGATCTCGTTGGTTGCACATTGGCGCCAACTCATGTTGGCGGCGAGGTTGCGCAGCGACTGGAGGTTGACTAGGACGCCGAGCTGGTCGACTTCGACGGTTGCGTGCGTCACGGCGTCCTCTGTGACGAGAATGGCCTTCTGGATCCCGCGGTGCTGCTGTACTAGCGACCCACGAGAAAGCTTTGGATAGGCACCAGGTATACGTGGTCGTACGTGTGGCGAGGATCGGCTTGACCGCGTCGCGGATGATCTCGGAGATTTTGAAATGGAAGCCGTGAAAGTCCCGCAAGTTGTGGCCAATGTTGCCGAGGTCGCTTGCGTACTCGTCGACGAACGCGGCCAAGACCTCGCGGGCGAGGAACTCGCCAAACTTGGGGCCGTCCGCAGGGTCAAAGAAGAGGGCACAGCACACCTTGGCGCTCTCGTTGGTCACGATGGTGACGGCGACTATTCAGGCATGCATGTCCTTCTTCATCTTCATGGCCGTCCAAGGGTGATCTACCGTTGGCGAATTCAATAAAGGACACGGGCGCGCCGGTGGTCTTGGCCGAAAACTCGAGCATCGCCGTGAGCAGCGACCCAATGAGCCGGGGCTACAGGACGTCATCGTCACGATGCACAACTTGTCATTCGACCTACGGACCTGCGCGATCGCGTTGGCAAACTCTTTGGAGAAGAGCACGAGACCGCTCGTCGCCATCAGCAGCACATTGCGCAGCATCGCCAAGTAAACGGATCGCGTATCCGGATTTTCGAAGTCGCGCAATCTTGCTCCATACGCGAGTCCGTGGACGTCTTATGCACTTGGTGTTATACAACCAACGAGCGATAGATTGGCGTTCACTGTGGTAGCAGTGTCGGCGCAGAAAGCTACGGAGAATCTGCAATCAAGTTGGAACAACGTAGGATGATGACAGGTACACTCGCTCTTTGAGCGACAACACATCATGTGGCTTAGCGCAGACGTTTAGGGATGCACTGCGAGTACCACTCGTCCTTCGTGGAGCAGATCGTCCCCGAAACGCATTTGGTGTTGCCCGTGTAGTCTTTCCCACCGCACTGCTCCCATGCCTTCTTGGCGTTCTTGACATCAATGGGCTTCATCGTGGGCTTCTTCGATGGCTTCTTCGTGGGCGTCTCCGATGGCTTCATCGTGGGCTTCTTCGTGGGCGTCTCCGATGGCTTCATCGTGGGCTTCATCGTGGGCTTCTCTGATGGCTTCATCGTGAGCTTCTCCAATGGCTTCATCGTGGGCTTCTCCGATGGCTTTTTTGTGGACCTCTCAGACGGCTTGGTTGTGGACTTGGTTGTCGGCTTGGTTGTCGGCTTGGCCGTTGGCTTGGCCGTTGGCTTGACCGCGTCCGTGGGCTCCTCGTCCCAGGCAGAGCTCGACCCGCCATCGTTGGGCGACGGGCGGTCCGTGGGCACGGGCGTCACGTTCGGGTTCTTGGACGGGTCGCACGTGTCGCTAATGTAAATGTCTGCGCAGTTCCAAAACTGTTCTTGCTGGTCGGCGCCACCCGGGTTGTTGCCACCGGTATACCACCAACGCAGCACGCAGTGCGCGTCACCGCTGCACGTCACGCCCTCCGGGAGGGTGTACTGCATCTTGAAGTTTTTGTTGCCACCCGGCAGCTTCCACTTGGTCTCGCCGTTCGGACGCTTGAGCTCCGTGAAGCACTCTTCGGTCTCCTTGTCGTTCTTGCCATTGAGCTTGCAGAGGCCGAACGTGAAGCTACCGCGGTGGTTGGCCGTGATCTGGATGTCGATGTCGATGGTCGAGCCCGGCTTGTAGCAGGCCGCGATCGCCTTCTCGCCGTACTTTGGGAAGAGAGCGTACTTGCCGCCCGTCTCGTGGTGGCGTGTGCCGCCGTACGGGTCACCGCAGACGCCGTGCTTGGAGCCAATGCCGCCGGCGTTGAGCCCATCGTCGTCCCAGTCTTCGGGCACAAAGCTGAACTGCGAGAGACGGAACATCGAGCCGCGCTGGAGGGGCGAGAGCATGCGGCCGTGGGCTTCGATTTGAGTCGCGCCAAGGAGGGCGAGCAGCGCAGCCGATGCCGTCTTCATGCTATTGGTAGTGGTGCGGAGGATGGAGGCAAATGCAAAATGAACTCGTGCGAACTTGGATCTCCATCTTAGACAGGGCCAGCACCTGGGGTTCCATTGAGAGATCGGGTCGCCGACATGTCACGAGCCGGCGCGGCCCAGCGGCTCTCTAACTTGGCCTGGACGTAACGCTCATCGAACACATGTGGTAGACTGGAATTCCCAGGTTTAGTCTCAGACGAGTGCATAGTATGCACTCGTATGAGACATCGTGCTCTATGCACTGCATAGAGCACGATGACGGACAACTGGACGTTCCTAGCGTGGGCATTGCACGCGTGCATCAGCCGTTGCCTTTCGTGCAATCGCCCGTGCAACGGTGATTGTTTGGTCACAAGGAACGTGCACATAAACATCCTCGTTCGAGTCTCAGCAGTGCCAAAACGGCCTGTGTAATTCAGTGGAGGATAAGATTGACTCTAAGATGAGACTCGCGCAAGCAGCGTTCACCAATACAGTAGTACGGTAGAGAAGCAAGCGGAGACTCAACTTGCCGCGATCTACTCTCCAGGACATTCGAAATGGTTCTGATGGGCTTGGTACACCAATCCATGTTGTGGGACTCTGTAGCTGCGCTGGACGCCGCATGAACTCATGGCATGAACCGGTGCGAACCGGGCGCTTAGTATGAGCATATATGTAATGATCATGGACAAAAGACCGTGATCGTTGAAAACGCCTGTACTCCAGCAACCGCGCTAGCATCCCTGCTAGGGAGCAAAGGAACTCTTTTGTACGGTCGGCTAGGCTCGACGCATATAGCTGATACATAAAAGGCGGTGTTCGGTTAGAGACGACACCATCCCAAACGACTGTTACGCCTGTCGTCTTGCGGCGTGGTAGGCGTTGACGCTGTCGGCGATGGACTCGCGGAACGCATTCTCCCAGCGTCGACCTCGCTCCATGAAGACCTCCATGGGACTGCGCCGCATCTCGTCCCACGGCAAGTCGGTCACCGCTTCCTTCTCGCAGAAGCGGAACTCGCGGATCTTGGCCCGAACGTCGTCGACGCTTTCGGCGCGGCACGTGTTGACGTGGCAGAGAAAGGTAAAGTCCACAGACCCGTTGCTGCCGACCTCGACGGTCGTCCAGCCCCACTGCACCCCCGTGACGCCGACGCTCAGATGCGGCTGGAGCGCGTCTTCGAGCACGGACCGCCACACGATGAGGCGCCGCGACGGCTCGCGGATCCTCTTTGCGATCACGTTGAGGTGGATCGGAATGCCGCCCACGGACGCGTGGTACTTTTGGTATACCGTATCGTTGTCAATGCGCTCAATGGTCTAGGATGGACAATGTTGTCATGCGCCTCGATGACATCAAGAACAACGTACGTGGGTGGCACCGATGGCCACGGGCACGACCTTTTCGCCGGTAAAGACGCGCCAGAACGCGTCCGCGACAACGTCCATCGGCGCGTCGTACGTGTCCCGCACGATAAACTTGGCCGTGACCGAGCCGTTGGGCTCAGTGCGCGCCTCGGCCCGGTAGTCGATAGCACCCGAGATCGGGTACAAGCCCGCGTTGAGAAAGGCCGTCTGTTGCCGCGAGTACTCGCGATCGGCGATGGCGTGGATGGCCGCGGTACGGAGGTGTTGCGCGGCCGCGAGCTTGTACTGCTTCCAGTCGGCCATGTGGCTGTTGTGGACGTCCGTCTAGTTGCATGCATTGAATGTGCATTTCGCGCATCGGACGCACCTGAGGCAACGGGCGCTTCCGGAGCAGCGTGAGCATGGCATCGACAAACGTGACTTGGCGATCGACTTCGCCGCGCAGATGCGCATTCTCCTGGAGCGCCTCGGTCTTGGTGAGCAGCTCCTGCTTGGCGATCGTCGCCCACATCGTCGTCGGCGGCAGCGCCGCGTCGCCCTTGGCCTTGAGCTCGTGCAGGCGTGCTTGCAGCGCGGTGACATCGGTGCGCAGCTGCAGGATCTCTTGGCGCTGCTTGAACTGAAACTTGTTCTTGGCGCGGACGAGGTCGGTCTCGGCCTTGCGCTTGGTCGGCGCCGGCGAGGCAAAGTCGTCGAGCGCGGCTTCGACGAGGGACGATGTGGCGGCGGTTGTCGCCGACGAAGACGAGCTGTCGCTGCCGTGGAGCGTGTCGAGGAGGTCGCACATGGCCGAGAGCTCCTTGTGGAGCTCCGCGTCCGTCGCAATGAGGAACTCGAGGCCATGCATCATCGCGCCCTGCTCGGCCATCGCTCTTGTCGTGCTCCGGGAGCTTCGGCTGTGTCCAGTAACGTGACATACATTCCCGACCATCACTCCTCTTTGCCGTACAGGCCGTCATCGATCGTTTTCGCATGACGCCGGCGCTCCACGTTGAGCTTCTTGGCGCAGGTTGTACGCGCTACCACCGTCATTCTCGGGGACCAATATCGCACACGCGTACACCTCTAACGATACCCATTCTTTGTGACGCACCAGTGGCTGCATGTTGTTTCTTCTTCATGATCACTTTGCAGCGTGGTCTTTGCTCGATGCACTGTACTACTCTCGTCTACGAGCTGCACGTGGCGTGGACTTGTCGTCGTGGGTTGGCAGGTCTCCTCGTCCAGCACGGCTGGCTCATACACTGCCGACACGCGGCTGGCTCATGGCGTAGTAGTAGGCCTCGATCGCTTTCCGAATGGCCTTGCGCAGAGCGAGCTCGAAGAGCCGGCCTTTGCCCAAGAGCGCGCTCATGACGGCGGCTGCCGGGTGCACCGGTCGACTTGCCGCATCCTGCGCATTGTCCGTCGGTGTGCTAAACTGCATTTGCTGCAGCGACGCTTGCGCGAGCGCCACGTCATCGCAGTGGCTCCGGTCCAACGGTACTTGGAGAAAGATTGTGAGTTTGCATTGGCGCGCGCCTTCGTCTTCGACGACCGCCCTATGCGCACGCATCTTTCCATTGTACGCCTCTACATATCGTATCGACGCACCAGCCCCACTGCTGCTCTCGGGCGCCGCGCGACATGTGGGGCACGCGTTCGTCTTCGAGGACATTGCGCCACACGATGACGCGCCGGTGGTCTTCGTGGTACTGCTTGGCGATCGTGTTGGCGTGAATCGTTGTACTTGCCGACACAGCTTGTGTGTACCGTTGGTAGACCGTGTCGTCGTCAATGAGGTCGATCGTCTGCGTACGTCAAGACACTGAGTGCTGTTGGCAGAGGCGCAGACACTACCTGCGTCGCGTCAGCAGCAACTCTTGGCCGTTCTCGCCGTTCATGACGGACCAGATCGCATCGCCAATCACGCGGAACGGCGCGGGGTGCCGTAGCTGGTTGATGAATTCGAGCAGAACGCAGCTCTCGGCGTGTGGTCGCAGCGCGCGTGCAATGTGTACCTCATGGTCGTTGGCGAGAAGACCGGCCTTGTCGAACGCAGACCGCTGCCGACCGTACTGCCGGTCCGCAATCGCGTGGATAGCCGCGACACGGAGCGAGTGCTGCGCGGCGAGCTTGTACTGGGCCCACGTCTCCTCGCTCGAGGTAACCTAGAGTGCAACCATTGGCATTTTCCTCATCATGTGACGTAGGCTTCAGGTGTAGTACGTCGATGGGCTTCTTGTGGATGTACGCCTTCATCGAGTCGATCAAGGTCGTTTGCTGCGCGACGGCCACACGCAGCTGGTGGTTCTCGGCCATCGCGCGGCGACTCTCGGCAAAGTGGCGCCGCGCAGCGGCCTCCCAGTCGACGTTCTGCGTCAGTGCCGTCGACGCCTTGCTGGTCGCGAGCGTCTCTTGGAGCTCGGCGACTTCTTTTCGGAGACGTAAAATCTCTTGCTTTTGCCGGTACTGAAACTTGTTGCGTGCGCCGACCGCTGGCAGCGGCTCCTCGTCAATGATCTTTTTGCGCTTCCGACGCGGCGCCTTGGGTGCTTTCGCAGGCGCCACGTCTTCGTCGAGCGACGTGTGAAAGTCCTCCAAAATCGAGTCGATCGTCTGCTTCGTCGTCTCGTTGTCGGACGACGTGCTGTAGACCGACTCGGCGAGCCCATCGCTCGCATACGCGTCGAGGAGGTGGCACACTTCAGCGAGCTCGTCCTGCAGATGGCTGTCGGTCGCGAGGAGGAAGTGCAAGTCGGTCATTGTGATCACGTCTGGTGGACTCGCCTCGCTGGTTGCCATCATGCTACGACGTCGTGGGATGCGACCAAGAAGCCAGCCGACTGCCAAATGCTGCTGAGATTGCTGTTTGGCCCGTATCCGGACGATCCGGATGGCGGCCAAGTCATCAATCCACTCTGCCAGCACCTTTTGCACGCCTTCGCCGCGACTGGCGCGCGTACGTACCCCCATGGCCGTCGGGCAAGAGTCTCGTGCACACAAGCATGTATTTTCCATAGGCATACGATGCGCCGTTTAGGGCGAGGCGAGGTTTGAGTCGCGGCCCTACTCCAGCTCGTACAGTACGAGTCGATATCCTAGACCGTGAGCGGACCGTGAGTATCACGACTGGACACACCACTTGGTAAAATTGGCTCGTCCGTGTGCGTGCAAGCGTCGTGCATTGCACGGTGTCCTTGTTTTCGTTGGCTATCGAGTACGGCAGTTGTAGTAGTATATTGATGATGTTTAGAAAGTTAAAAGTTGTCGTTGGCATCGTGCACGCCGACGACTTACGTGCGTCGCCGCTTCTTCGAGTCGCGCTTCGTGACCGTCTTGACCGTCTTGTTGGCAATGTGCTGGATCTCGCGCGTCGACTTGAGCACCTTGGACTGCACCTTGCGACTCTTCTTGAGCATGAGAAAGTTCTTGAGACGCGCCTTCTCGCGGTTCGTGGTACCGCCGCCGCTCTTGCGGTGGGCAAAGTTCTCGCGGCCTTCCAGCACCGACCGGAGACGCTCTTCCTGCGTCTGGCGCTTCTTCTTCGAGTAGCCTTCGAGCGACATCGGGTCGACCTTGGCGTGGTTGGCGTCCAGCGACTTCTTCTCGACCTCTTCGGCCTTGCGCTTTCGGCGGCTCTTGGGGTCCTTGGCCGCCTCGACCGCCTCCTTCTTGAGCATCTCGATGCGCTCGAAATCCTTGGGCGTCAGAATACGCTGCGCGTCGATGCGCTGCGACTGCGGCACGACCGCCATCGGTTCGTCTTCCTCGTCACCCTCGCCGTCTTCGTTCTCTTCGCCTTCCGACTCAGTGTCCGAGTGCAACCCGTCACTGTCTTCGTCTTCGAGGTTGACCCAGCCGTCCTCCGACTCTTCGCCGGCGTCCAGCGCCTCTTCATCGAGCGCCCAGCCGTCTTCGTTGTCTTCTTCGTCAAAGCGGCCAGCCGCCTCGGCCTGCATGAGGAGCTCGGCACCTTCGACACCTTCGAGTGCACGGAGTTCGCCAAAGGCCTTGGGGCGCGCGGCGGCATCGTGGAACTTGCCGCGGTCCTTGCGCTTGAGGAGGCTCGGGTGGAGCTCACGCACGAGGTTGAGGACACCGCGCGCCGCGATGACGGTCGTCTTGTCGCGGCTCTTGTTAAACATGATGAGGTCCTGGAGCAGCGCGTCCATGCCTTCCTCTTCCATGACGAGCGGAATGCGGGCAAAGATCTCGCGCACCGAGTTGATACCAACGGCAATGACCTCGGACGAGCAGCGCTCGACAATGAACGAGTTGGCAATCGTGCGCACGATCGGCATGATCTCCTCGGGCGGAATGTCATCGTGACACGCCTGCACGAGGTACGCGAGGATCTGCGTCACGTTTTGCTGATGCGCCGTGAGGTACCGCTGCAGCAGCGGGTAGAACGGCAGCACAATCAGCTTGTGCTGGCCAATGAGGCGCCCGATAAAGTCCATCATGAGCAAGCGCACTTCGAACCGGTCGTTCGAGGCCTTGAGCAACTTGAGCTGGCGCTCGGCCATGCCTTGCGGATCGTGAAGAAGATCCAGCGCCGGGAACGTGTACTGGTTGTCAGCGTCGCGGTTGCGGGCCTTGCGGTTCTTGACCAGCTGCGCCTTGGTCGCATTGTGGCTACAGGATTATGTCAGACAAGGATCGTGGCATCAATCAAAGACGTACCGCTTCTTCGTCTTCTTCGAGTGCGAGTGGTAGTTGACCTCGACTTGTTCCTTGACCTTCTCCTTCTCGGCCTCGTCGTCTTCGAGGATGTCCGTGTCGATGCCAAGGAAGAACTGGATCGCGGTCACCATGACACGCGTCGTCGGCGACGTGCACGCCGACGCAATGCAGTTGACCGTCCGCGCGTCGCACCAGATCTTCTTGCGGTAGAGCGAGATGAGCACGTGGAGCGACTTGATGGCCGCAATCTCGTTGTCGTCGGCGACCATGCCGTACAGGAACGACTGGAGGCCGCGCATGACCTTGTCGTTGCGGCCGCCGCCATCGTTGTGCATGCGCTTGAGATCGTACACGATGTGCGAGTAGAGGATCTCGCGGAGGCGCTTGTCCGGGCACCGGAAGAGCTCAAAGAAGAGCTTGAGCAGCACGAGCGCGTCGACGATGTTCCGGTTGCGCATGAGGATGAGCGACTGGACGAGCGTCTTGCGGAGCGTCGCCTCCAAGACGTTCGAGTGCTTCTCGAGGAGCGAGATGAGGTCGGTCGGAAACGACGCGAGCTCGGCCGGGTAGCATGTCGCGACGTGCGAGAGGAACGAGACGAGCGCGCCAAAATGCTCCGACTCCTTGCTGGGCTGGAGGCGGAAGATGGCGAGCTCGCTCTGGTAATGGCGGAACTGCATCATAAACTCATCCTTGTACGCGTCGGGGTCGCGCTTGACCATGTTCTGGAGCTGCGGCAGCTTGGCCAGCACATCGGTCCGCGTCTCGGCCATTTTCACAAACTGCAAGGTCGAGTGCACTTTTAGCAAGTGCATTTTGGCTGGTCAAGGTCCACCGCGGTGGCATTTTTTTTATTGGCGCGGTGTATTTGAACACCAATCTTTTATGTATTCTACTTTGTGATTGTATTGCATATACGACAACATATATTTGTATTATAATATAGCACGACAGGAATAAAAAGCAACTGGAACGGATGCGAGAGAAATAAAATACAACGTTGAAGCACTGGATGGAAACGCAGTTTTCCTTACCGACACGAGATCGAGTCTTGACTGCTACTAGCTCGTGCGAGCTGCTCGTACCCTCTGATGCGTTGCGAGCGCGCGGAGCTACAGGCGCCACCTGCACTGCATCATCATGGCAGCAGCTACGTTGTGGGATTGAAGCAATGCATCCCGTCAACGTCGGCCTGTGACGTGGCAGCTCGTCCTCGATGGAGCGCTAAGCACGAAGTGGCGAGTGTTTTCTCTTCCTGCGCTACTATGGCAATGCCAGCAGCATAGATTTGGTTCAACTACGATCTGAATGGTATAAATGATGCCTTGCACAACGGCCAAGAAGCCCATTTCATTGTATTCACATGGTGCGGGATCACGTCAAGCTCGTCCATTTGTCTGCGTGAAGTGGACTGTATCGAGAAGCGAGGGCTCAAGGCTGCTACGGGCCGTGGGAAAGGAGGTGGGTCTCCTCCGAGAGAGCGCCGTCCCGGGCCTTCTTGGCACGCCGGAGCTTGAGAGCGAGCACGATGATAGCGATGATGAGCGCGGCGATGACGAGGCCGCTGCCCGCCAGCAGCACCTCGACGAGGCGGACGACAGTGTACATGGGGACCGTCTTGTCTGTCGTTGATGTCGTCTCTTCTGGCACGGTGCCTTCGTAAATGTCCATTTCGCGTAGGACAAAGGTCGTGGGGACGAGGTCCTCGAGGCAGCTGCGATCGATCTGGCTCACGTCGCCGCGCTGCAAGACAAAGTCGCGGAGCAAGTGCATCGCGCACGACGGATCGGTCTACAAAAGCAATGCCATCGATTTCGCCGATGGCTCTTGAGACAGAACGATACCGGTGTCGCCGATCTCGTCAAGGCGCCGTGGCCCGAGTACGGAAAGGTAAAGAGTGCTTTCTGGGTCGTACTACTCAGCTCCAGCGCCTCGTACAGCGCGATCGCGTGCACATGCGGCGTCTGAACATCCAAGAGCCCTGAAAAGAGGATGACCGACGCGTTCGTCTTCGGCGTCGGGTTCAAGCTCGCAAACTTGTCGCGCGTGTACGTGTACGTCGACGTGGGCCGCGTCATATTGGCGCACGCGGGGTCGTCCGCACCTGTGAGGATGCAGTACTTGTCTTCCATGGGCGAGAGGTCGAACGCCATCGTGCTGTTAAAGAACTCGGCGTGGAGCTGCGCACGGGTTGGCGTCTCCCAGAGCTCGGCGCTGGAAACCAGGTCGTGCAGCAGCTCCGAGTAGTCGCGGTCCTCCATGTTGGCGTCGTCCGCAGGCATCGGCTCGGTCATGGCGCCACCACCCAAGGCGACTGCAAACCACTGAACGTCGTGCATCGAGCACCGATGGAAGCGGTAGACGAGAGCCGGAATCAGTTCTTGCTTGCCGACGCCGGATTGCAAAAGAAACCGGAGCAGCTGCCGCACGGTCCACGACGGCGATGTGGGCAGCGCCTCGAAGAGGGCGGCGCACTCGTTCGTCCCGTCGTCGAGCGTGGCGTAGAGCATTTCAACAGTGGCCTTGGGGTTGCTCCCGAGCTTGCCAGCGCAGACCTCGTCCTTGCCGCAAAGGTCCCAAAAGCGATCCACTGCGCATCATCATCATCGTGAGCCATCTTCTACTATAGAAGACGCGCAATGTACCTGCCGTCAGTGTATCCCGGTTCCACGATGAGAAGGGACCTGCGACGCCGTCTAAAATGTAGCCCTTCACCGTCCGGGGCGATAGCTGCATCAAGCGGCGCACCCAGAGCGTGCCATAGCTCACGCCGTAGACGTACGTTTCGGCGTCGGGCGTGAGCACGTCAATGGCGCTGGCCACGTCCTTGGCGGCGCTCGTCGAGGACCAGCCCGCGGCCGTGTCGTTGCCGTAGATCTGACGCACGTTTTCGAAGCAGGCAGCCATCTCGGATGGGGCAATCGCCTGTCCGCCGGGGCTACCGACGGCGGCGGCCTCGGTGGTGGCGCACTCGAGGTACGTGCTCTTGCCCGTGCCGCGGTGGTCCATCGTGTAGACGTCCACCGTGCCGTTAAAGTACAAGGCGGCAAAGGCCTGATACGATTCCACTAGATGATCAATAGTGCGTGAGACGTGGCGAGGGTCATCCTTGGTTGACGTACTCACAATCGAAGACGCGCCAGGGCCGCCCTGGAGGAACCAGAGCGCTTGGCGGGGCGAGCCAGGCGCCGGCGGCTTGGTCGCCTTGAAGTGCTTGACAAACACCGAGATGGTCTTGTCGCTGGTGCAGACGCCGTCGTAGCACAGCGGCACGTCGAGCGTCGCGCAGCGCGTGTTGTCCATGTGGTAGTTGGTGTCGGGCGACAGCGACGCGCCAGTACGCAGCGGGCACGGCAGCCACCCGGACGAGACCTTGATGGCGCCAACGACAGCGCTGAGGCTCGCGAGCGTCGCAGTGAGCCGCATGCTGCCTGGTCAACCCAAAATGATTTTGCCTTTTTATGCCGAGTTTTGATTGGCCGATCGGTCCAGCCCACTGCAAACCTTGTGTAAACTATACTATACGCAAAATAGTATGTTTCCCGGCTGCCATCGTCTCGACCGCTCCGCCCACCCGACTCGTACAGTTTCCGATGGACAATACTGTACACACCCTAAGAATTCGTCTCGAATAATCTCATAGAGCCCTCGTTCTCCTTCGCCTATTCAAGTCAGGGAATATAAAACAATGCTGTTATTTTCCTATTGACACATCTTCGTCGTCTAGTCCCGCGGATTGCGCTCCTGCCTCCGCCGGCCTAAATCAAGTCCCTCAACCGAGTTCACACAACGAAGAAAGTCCGACAATTTTATTTAGCATAGTTTTATCTATTGTAATAGAGGACCCAATTCAACAACAACATCTTCGTCGTCTAGCCTAGCCGTGAAGTACGCCCTTGGTGGACCGGTGTCAACGGCAATAATATAACGGGAATCACCAGTAGAAAGGAGCGACATTTCCAGGGCTTGAACCCCGCACCTCCTGCGGACAAGGGTACCCTTGCTGCGTTGTACGAGCAGGAATCCACCGACGGGAAAAGACGTGGTCGACGACGTATCTTGAGAGGATCCAACCAATACGACTGCCGTCTCAGGACAGAGTCAACTTACAACAAAGCCAGCTTTTATACGGCACAGGACCGCCGTTGTCTCGTAGCACTCTAGTATCATGTCGACTGCTTTTCGAACATAGTCCTGCAGCACGTTGTGTGTGTTATAAACTCGATGCTAGGTTATGAAGGAACGTCCTCGTCATCGTCGGCATCGCGCTGTGTCGTGGCCGTCGGAAGCTCGTACAACACCTGGAGCGTCCGAATGTCGCCGTCGCTCAAGCCGTCGCGCTGACCAAGGACCGACGACGCCTCTTCATCGCAGTCGGCGGCCGTCGGGACGACGCACCCGTCTGCCTCGCTCTCTTCAATGTTGCAGTACTTGACGCTCTTGTTCTTGGGGAGACACACGCCGTGGCCGTAATGCATGATCGAGTGCTTGTCGTACTGCGTCACGAAGGCCTCTCGGCGCAGCACATAGTTGTTGCGCGACGCTGCTAGCTTGTGCCCGCGCAGAACGATCGCCTCGGACGCCGGGTGCACGTGCTCGTGCGAGACGCCAAACGCATGCAGCATCTCGTGCATGATGGTGCCGCTCCCGTGCTTGAACGCACTTGGCTGCAAGTTGATGGCTTGGCCCGCTGTCTGGAGGTACCCGACTGCCGCGTACGTACCGCGGCGGTGCGGGCGCTGGTGGATCGACACGTAGTGCGCACAGCCACCGCAGAGAGCTTGCGCACGTGGCGACGCCTTGCACTCGTCGAGTGTCAGCATCGAGACGCCTGTCGGGGTGATGATGCCGTTCATCGCGTTCTGAATCAAGTCCAGCTCCGTGCGCGTAAATGGACTTTCGATCTGATAGCAGAGAGTCGCAAGCGGCCATAAGAGATGCGTGTGCTGCGTTGCAAGGCCGAGTCGGCGCTGAGCGTCCGCCTTGTGGCAGCTCACGGGGTCGTCCTCGTCGCCGTCGGCGTTGCCGTCGTCTTCAAAGCAAGTGACCACGCCCTTCACGCACGTTCGGTAGATGGCACCTGGCACCCGGGGCTGGCCAAAGATGTACTCGATCTGGCCGTCGGAGAGCCGTGTCGCGGCGCTTGTCGGGTGGTGCGGAAGATGGCACCCGTCGTTGGCGGTTGCAAGGCCCAGCACCAGGAGGAGGAGGAGGAAATGAAGAGGAAGCGGTAGCCAATGCATGTTGGTGGCTTTGGCAACGACGTGGGAAAAGAGAGAGTGCTTCAGAGTGGAGAAGGCAACGCGTGTAAAGGAGACGACGGGTTTCTACAACGTTGAGCGCCGACCTGTTTTTTTGTATGGATGTGTTGGTCTCCCCGTCGTGGTGTCGCGTCAAACGATGGACTAGCTGACGTCGTGCGATGCCACGTAGTCGACCGTAAACATATTTCGCCGTGCACTAATATGCCAAAGCCGACGTGTTTAGGAACGGGGGCAGCGTTACGTGTACGATGTGGGGTTAGGGCTGGGACACGGGCTCTTGCCTGGGTTCGCGCTGCTGCATGGAGGCTGTATGGCCATTGTTGATCAAACACACTCGTGTTGCAGGCTTTTAAGCGTTGTGCGGCCCAAGGTAGTAGCAGTATGGCGGGCTGCAATGCTTGCTCCAAGTTGCGCCAGCTATTCACTAAAGGGTTGATGGTTGCTACCTATGATGGACTATGATTTGTCCACAGAATATTCATCCTGTTTTGCCACCGAGAGCAACGAACTGTGTGACGACCCAAACAACATAGTGTACTAATTAGTGGCGCTGTGTTCGTCTCGGGGCTACAATGCAGACGACAGCGTATGAGCAGCATAGAGCAGTAGCTGCAGGGCGACAAATTAAGAGGCTTATACGTTCAAGGGATATCCAAGGGTAAATAGTACGCCTTTGGTACAACCATGCATCACGTTTTATCATTTAACGTCGTCCTGAGGTAGGCAATTACCCAACGCGGTGGCTCGTAATTGCTTGTTGCTACTGGGGACATAGGTATATATGCAGCCTCTCACTTTCCGAATATACCGTCTTGTGCCGTCTTGTTGTGCCACGTCATAGAGAAAGTGCACCAAACCGGATATGGAACCGGTTAATCTACTGAATTCAAACCACAACCGGCTACGTCGGTTCGGCTATTATCGACGCCTTGGCCATGGCAGGAAGCGGGGCGGACGAGACCTTCCTGCATGACATCCAGTTCCTCATCGCGAACGATGCGCAGCTCACGCAGGATCTCTCGCAGCTCTGCGCGATCCTCGAAGGCTCGTCAAGCGACAGCGAACCGAGCGCCCCACCGAGCGCCAAGCGCAAGACGGCCCCTCCGAGCGACGACGAGCCGCCCGCGCGGAAGCCAAAGAACCGCTTCCAGCACAGGCAGCGGCAAGAGATCCTCGCGCTGCGCGACCAGGTGCGGATGTTGCAAACCGAGATGTCAAAGACGCGCCGCGGCCGGCCCACCTCGACGCCGTCGCGTTGGGAAGCAATCGCAAAGGAAGAGCGCCAGGCCAAAGCCGCCGTGCTGCACGAGAACGAGCAGCTCAAGGCCGCAGTGGCGCACCAGCTCACGTTCATCGAGACCATGCAGCGCCTGCTTCGAAAGAAGCCCCGGCTCGAGGTAGTATACCCCGTCTCTACTTCGCTTTTTCATTCTCGGCGGGTACGAATAGCTGCTGCGCGATCCATCGTCCGAGGCGTGGAAGGCCTACACGCTGGCTGCACAGGCGTCGCTTCGCCTCAGTGCGATCCATGCGATTGCCGACCGACAATACCATCGGCTACGAAGCACCTTCTTGCGGCTTGGTCTTCTCGACCGCCCAGATGACAACCTCGTGCGCATCACGCCGACGCCGCAGGCCAACGGAACGCTCGTCGTCGAGTACGTTTATGACTTTGTACTACCCGCGCCATATCGGGCCGTGGGCGATGCGGTCTGGTGTGTCTTCAACGGGGCCGACGCCGCGCCGTGCGCCCTGGATGCCACGCAGGTACAGTCGTCGCTCCTCCACTCCTCAGCCTCTCCATGGCCCTTCTGCGGCATAGCATGTCGAGATCATCGACGACGATACCAACTACGAGACCTTTGCTCGCCCGATTGCTGATGCTGCGCACGTCGCCTACTCGAACCGGATCACCAAGCGGTTCCAGGAAGAGAGCCGCGATGTGATCGTGTGGCGGACGGTCCTCCAGGACGAACGCATGCCGCAGATGGCCCACGGCAGCGTCGAAGACGAGTGTGGCTGGTATCTACCTTGCGTCTGCCTGTAATACTATCGCATCCACGGCGTAGGCTCGTGGTGGCAGCGAAGACGCACGCGACGTCTCGGCTCTCGTTTGTGCTCTCGGTCGTCGCGGATGGTACGGCGATCGAGAACGTCACGCGAGGCATTGCAGCGTTTTCGTTTGGCCACCTCGAGTCTGGCCCGGCGCCGCTGGCCGAGACGCCGCCGCCGACGACGATGGTTGCGCTCATGGACAAGGGCAAGCGGCTCGAAGTCGCGCTGCGCAATGCGGTGGCCAAGGTCGTTGGCGCGTTCCAGCCTGCATCGTTGTCATCACCATCGCCGCAAAGGCACCGCGTTGGCATAAGTGGAGCGTTGGAGTCGTAGGTAGTAGTATGTTTACAGAGTGGAGAATATAAGCACGCCAACCACGAGTGAAAGTCGGCGACACCAATGCCACGACGGGCCTCCGCTTGTGGACGGCGCTGTCGTGATGGCCCGCGTGAGGACCGACGCTACGCCGTGTTCGGTGAGGCTTTCCAGAGAAGAAGACGGAAGGTCGTACTTGTCTCGGTCGTGAGTGTGCAGTTGGCGCGCGTAAAGCCAACCTGCTGCGCGTCCAGATCAAAGAGCACGTTGACGTCGACCATGGCGTTGGCGCCGATCACTAGATGCACATCAAACTCGCCTCACGAGGCGCTCGATGAAGAAGCGCACCTCCGCTCTCTGCAAAACGCAGGCCGAATTTACTCTCTCCAGAGGCGGTCGTGTACATGTACTTGGCGGGCGGCAGCTCGAGCTCGACGCGCCCGGCGGTGCCTGCAAATACCAACGTGATCGTCGGCCACGTGCCACTTTGGTCGGGCGCATAAGTCGTCGCGTCCGAGAAGGCGACGTTCGTGGCGGCAGCAAAGGCCCGAAGGAACGACGTGCGCACCGCGTATGGCAAGTATGAGTGCGACGACCCGCTGTCGACGAGCGTGCTCAGGCCCCTACGATACAAGGCGCTGGAAAACAGCGATACACACCAAGACATGGACGTACGCGCTGTCCACGGACGAGGTTGCCGCCGTCGATGTGCCGCCCACGAACACGTCGACGAGCGGAAGGAGGTATTTGGTCGAGCTCAGCATCGCGACCGTCCCAGTGGCGGCCGACGATGGTGCGTACAGCGACGGGTCGCTGCCGCCGAGCACGAGGGTGCCCCCCGACGCCGAGTAGCAGAGGCTAAAGGCGTTGCGCTCAATGCGCTTCTGCGCTACGAGGGCGGCGAGAAAGGTTGTCGATGCTTTCGAGAAGCCAATAATGCCATTCTCGGCCATGGTCACGAGCGGTCCTACGCGCCGTCATGAGGTGCCAACTGTCATCAAAGGAAAGATACCGCTGGCGCTGAGCTGGGCGGCCACGGTCAGCCGCACGCCGTTAGTGCGCATGATGTCGTCCGAGGACTCGCCGCTAAAGCGCCCAATGTAGGCGAGGTCGGTGACGGCGGCGCCGGTCCACCCGCTGCCGTCGACGTACGTCTATCGCCAGAAGATCGCGGGATAAGACGACGAGGCAAACTGGTCGGGTACCCGCTGGACTTCGCACGCGGCGCGCGCCGAGTCGCAGAGAAAGCACTGGCGGAACGACGTGCAGTTGTCATACGCTGATGTCGTCGACTTGGCCGTGTCGTAGCCAGGATCCGTGTGGTTGCCGCACGTCGTGCAGCTACAGAGAGCATGATGAGTGCGAGCCAATGCACACGTGTCGTGTGTACGAGCTCGCAACGACCGCTGTCCAATCGCTCGCTGTGTCAATGACCACGAGCGCGCGTTGCGGCGGGACGCCCAAGTACAACGCTGCGTGGCGGACGCTATTACACGTGCGTCACGCCTCGTATAGGACAGCCGCGTACCCTCGGCTCTCGCCCACGCGCTGCTCGAACATGGGGCTGCTCGCGGAGAGCGCCCGGGCCTCATGCAGGAGCGGGATCGAGACCAAGCTCTCGGCGACCGCGGCCAGTGCCACGAGCCATCGGGCAACCTGCGTCATCCGGCTTGACGCAACTTGAAAAATGGACGAGTGCGTTTCACCCAAGCCAAATCGAGCCACTCCCTCATTGCGACGTCTTATCGTAAGATAACGTTCAACAGCCGCTTGAAGGTTGTTACAAGTTACTTTTCTTTGTTGTATCGAACGTAAACTGTCCTTTAAAAGGTGGTATCGTGTTGATGTATCTTGAAGTTGGATTTTTGGAGTTTGGATTGATGCGACGTCATGGTCGCAAGCTCGGTCCAAGTCCTCACAGGAGCCTCTGCCTGGATACCCGATCGATAGCTCCCTGGATCGCTCCTATCATCCAAGAGGCGAGAATACCTCGCACGGTATGAATCGCATGCGCCAGGTCGTGCGATGGGCTTGCAAGATCCTCCTCCTCGTAGCCGTTCGTCGTTCGAGCCTCGCGTGCGCCATCTCGGCCGACAGCATATTTGAATCATTCGTACTACATGGCCAAAGACCTACTAGTATATATTAGAACTGATCAGCTCTGATAGCAAGTAGCTCGGCCTGAAGTGGGCGATTATGTGACGAGGCAGAGGCCCCTCTGCACATGGGCGAATCAGTGCTCATTGCTACCGGTACACGTACAGCAGTGGAAGTAGGTATTAGATAGCAGTCTCTTGCGATGACGCCTCTCCAGTACCCAGTACCCAAAAAAACAAAGCGTCGAAAAGCAGAAAATGAGATGAAATTGCGGCCAAAAAAGTCCGGGTTCGAATCCAAGGCGCTGGCCAATCCTTGGACGAGAAGGTCGTCGCCGCAATGTCATGTGGGCCATCAGCTGGCGCTGGCGACGCTACGGGGATAGGCCCTCCCTAGCTTGCCCGGCGCCGAGTTGGGTGTCAGTAGTCTCTTGACAGAAGTGCGCCATACAACCGCCATAAGATCGCCATAAGATTTCCAAACGATCGCTACCCGATCTCATCAGCGTCCACGTTATAAAGTTAGTCCAATGACTCGCTACGTCTCCTTGGCGTCGACGCTTGGCGATCCTTTGGCGTAGCGCGTGTAGCCCACGAACGCTAGGACAAGAAGCACACACGCCAACGCGCCGGTCGCCGAGGACGACGCATCGCTTTGGACGCCGGCGCTCGTGAGCGCCTTGCCGCGCAGCACTTGGGCCGGCGTCGGCACGTCGAGGTGCCAGCCAGGCAAGAGCGCTTCGACCGCCGACGCGTCCGTGTACGGCACCCAGTGCAGCTGCTTGCACGAGTGTTGGTCGCGCTTGCCGTCCTCAAACGTGATGCCGGAAAAGTTCAGGTACATCTGCAGCGACCGCGCCTTGCCCCAGCCGTACTTGTCGAGCTCGAACGTGTCGACGGGCCCCTTGAACGGCCAGTCGACGAGCAACTTGAAGCGGTTCTCGCCCATCTCCCGCTCCTCCTTGCGCTTCGCCTCGTCGACTTCGACGTACTCAAAGCGCGCGGGCACGCTCGTGTAGTTGTGGTAGATGACGCAGCCGGTGCGCGACGGCGAGTAGAGGTCGTAGCCGTGCGTCCAGAGGTGCGACGCGCGCAGGAATTCCTCGCCGTCAAACATCCAGAGCGTGTGCGAGTCGATCGGCGCGCGCTTCTCGGCGTGGCACTTGCTAAAGGAGAAGCCCGCGCCCCAGAGCGCCGTCATCTGCGGGTACTTGGGCTGCAGGATGAGGTCGGCGCCAATGTTGCGCACGAGGCCGTTCCCGCCGCGCATCGTCTGGCAAATGTGCGGCAAGTGCTGCGGAGCTATCACGCAAGAATCATAGTTAATGAGATGCAAGGCGGGGTGCATGGAGAGTGAACCTTTGTTCGAGCCGTCGGGCAAAATAAAGTCGTGGAGGTTGTGCAAGTACGTCGTGAGGACGCCCATCTCGTTGTTGAGCGTGCGCCAGTCCTCGACGACGCCGAGGTCCCAGTCGTTGGTAAAGACGCTGTGGGCGTCGAGCTGGAGGCAAAACTCTTGGTCACCGATGAGACTTTGTTGCTGCGACCGTGCGAGCGTCGGGCCGCGCGAGTCGTTGGCCGACCGCGTATCGACCTTGATGTGACTCTTGTACTTGCATGGCTCGTCCGGCCACTCCTCGGCCGCGAGCTTGCAGTACTCGTCCAGACACGACGCATCTTCGGGGTTGACTTGGTCGACAATGCCAAAGTACAACCCGGCGGGATTGCTCGCGCGCTTGAACCCGGTAAAGACCGTGTAGCCGCAGCGGGCGCCGTCGCGGAAGGCCGAGAGACCCACAAAGATGTCGTACGTGGCAGGGATGCGCGGCGGCGGCGGCTGCAGATGGCGAAGCGCCGGGTCCAGCGGGATGTTCTGCGTCTCGGGGTACAGCGTGATGTCCGTGTTGGGCTCCTTCCACTCCTTGTCGTACGCGTCGAGCGGGTTGTGGCTCGCAAACGAGAGCACGTGCGAGACGCCTGTCTGCGGCGGCGGGTCAAAGGCCATCGCGAGCGGCGCCAGCGCCAGCGTCGACCACAGTGCTACCATCGTCTTGGTCGTGTGATGTCAACGTCGATATCCAGAACTGCGACGCACGTTCGTTCGTTCGATCACTTGCCGCATCCGGATAGTGCGCTACAGTATCCGGATATGTCACCTGTGACCGCCTCCTGCCACGTCAGAGCCCGCACGGCAGAGGCTGGCAGAGGCGCCAGTAATTCACTTCATACATTGGAGACTTATGTAATGTGGGTACAGCCATCAAGCAGGAATGACATGCCTCGTGATCTGCTGCCTACACGGAGCCGGCGACCGCGATGGCACGAGGGGCCACCGCCCTTGGCGCGAAGGACCACCACCCTTGGCGCCTATAATAGGCCATCACCTCTCGTCAGCAGCTTTAGCTGGGCGGGTGGACCGTATCGGATGCCTCGCATTATGCGTTGCTTCCTCATATGTGAACCGAGATGGTCCACATGAAAAGTCGCCATGCAACTACTACTCGAGCCGACACCATCCTTTCTCACTGCAGCGACGCAGTCGCATTGCATGGTCACGGCCGCACGTATGTTTGTACTAGCAAGAAGGGTCCACCCGTGGTAGCAAGTACAGAAATGGTTTGCCGACTAAATTTAGTCGTAACTTGGCCGTTGCGATGGACGAGCCGCAGGACGCGACCGAGGCGCCGGCGTTGCTCTTGAAGCGCAAGGACTTTTTGGCGACGGACGAGGCCGCCAAGAGCCACCCGAATCGGACGTACTACTACCGAAAAGACGCCGACGTGGAAAAGGTCATCGACTCGTGCACGAAGAAGCTCGCGGCCAACCCGACCGACGCAACGACCTTTGCCGTGCGGGGCGCGTCGCACATGAAGAAGACGGTGCGATCCTCTTCGTCGAAGTCGCCTGCACTTTTGCACTGTAGGAGTGGGCCGCCGCCGTCAGCGACTTTGGCAAGGCGCTGCAACTGGCGCCGAACGACGCCAACAGCTACTACAAGTACCTCGTACTTGCGAAGACAATCGTCATCGACGATGGATGTTCTGCGTCTGTAGCCGCGGCCTCGCGTGGAGCAACCTCAACGAGCCGCAGCGAGCGATCGAGGACTTTACCCATGCGCTGCAGCTCAACCCGAATCATGTCAACGCAGCGTATGCGCGGTAGGCGACACGGTCGAGATCACATAGTAAGGAAGCGAGGTAGCGCTTCGTCGTTCAACAAGCAAGGCGACTTTTCCCGCGCGATCGAGGACTACAACTTTGCACTTATGAAGGACCAGCAGTGCACAAAGGCCAAGGGCAAGGCCAAAGCCAAGACGGCGCCCACCGCGCTATGTGCCACCAACCTCAATCTCAATCCCAACAACAACAATAACAGCCACAACCACGGCAGTAAGCCGCATGGCAGCAGCATGGTGCTTGGCATTGAGGCGTACGCCAAGCTGCGGGAGAAGGAGCTTCTCGACAAGATGACACAGCGCAAGCAGCAACTCGCGTCGTCAAGTACGACATTTCTCTTGTATCCAAGTATCCAAGTATCCTATTCGCCTAGCACCACGCGATGTATCGATCCTATCCGAAGCCGCGGGCCACGACGCCGTGCCTTCCGACATCACGGCGACCGAGAACTCCACCGGTGACGACGCCGAAGCTCATCACGTGCGCGGCTTTGCGTACCGCAAAGAAGGTCAGTTTGAGCTCGCCGTGCAAGAGTACTCGCGCGCGATTGCGGCCAACCCTGCGTACGTGCACTCGCTATCTAATCCTTGCCATGGAACGTCAAATTGGGCATGTAGTCACTTCAAAGCGCACTTTAACCGGGGGTTTGCCTACGACAAGTTGCGTCAATTTGAGCGGGCGGTCGCCGACTACTCGACAGCGATTCGCCTCGACCCGACCAACGCCTTTGCCTACTATAACCGCGGCATCTCCCTCGACCGGTCGCCTCCCGTTCTCCTTTAATGTTTCTTCTCAAGGAGGGTGTAGGAGCGGCAACTACACGGGCGCGGTCCTCGATTTTACTAAGGCCATTGCGCTGCTGCCGACGAACGCGGATTTTTACCACAATCGCGGGTTCTGCCACCGCAAACAAGTACGAGGAAGGATGACACTATTGTGCATCGCAGACAATATGTGTAGGGTCGGTTTGACTTGGCCGTGCGCGACTACACGGCGGCGATTCAGCTCCATCCGACCCACTTCAAAGCGCTCTACAACCGCGCGTTCTCGTACGACAAGATGGAGCAGTTTGACGCTGCGATTGCGGACTATACGGCAGCCCTGCGCATCGACCCGAAGAGTGCCAACGCTTACCACAACCGCGGCAGCACGTGGGAAAAGGTATTGCATCTGAACGCCGTACAAGAAGCGACTTCTGTGGCAGATGAAGCGGCTGCCCGACGCAATCGCCGACTTCAACCAGGCGATTGCGCTCGTACCACACGCAGCGTCGAGCTACAATAGCCGCGGCCTTGCGTTCGACCAACAGGTCATCTGCTCCCGAAAAACTCGGGGCTGAAAATTAGGGGTAGGGGAAGCACGCGCAGGCGCTCACCGACTTTGACACGGCGCTGCAGCTCGAGCTAGAGAATCCGATCTTCTTGCACAACCGCGGGTACTGCTACCGCAACCTCGGCGACTTTGAGAAGGCAGTGGCCGACTACTCGGCGGCCCTTGCGATCGAGCCGAACAACGTCGCGGCTTATAACAACCGTGGGTACGCCCGGCGCAAGCAAGGTCGGTTCGAGGCCGCCGTCGACGACTACACGGCCGGTACGACTCATGGCATGTTGATTTCGATGCTTCAACGATGCAATAGCGCTGCAACTGGACCCGGCGAGCACGCGAACGTTGAGCAACCGCGCGTACTCGTTCGCCAAGATGGGTCGGTACACACAGAGCATCGCCGACTACACGCACGTCCTCTCGCTCGAGCCCAAGAACGCATATGCGCTGCACAACCGATCGATTCTGCAGGAGAAACTCCGCGACGGATAGAATTGATCGAACGCTAACGACTCGTTAAACGTTCTGTACTTTGTAGAAGTCGGTTGGAGTCGGACCGATTAGAGCTTGAATCCCGAGTGCACGGCGACGACACCGTCCATAAAGTTGGTGTACGACACCTTGGAGAAGCCCGCGGTCTCGATCATCGTCTTGAAATCGTCCTGCACGGGAAATTGGCGAATCGATTCGACCAAATACTACACCGCGATCGTAGAAAAGACACGTTGTTGTCGATCGAACAATGTACCTGGTACGACGCACGGTCCTTGGCAAGGAGCTCGCCCATGGCCGGGATCATGTTGAAGGAGTACTACAACATGGCGTGCGTTCAGTGGTCGCGTGCGTACTTGGTCATAAAACGCGCGCAAGAGCGGGTTGCGTACTTGGCTAAATTCGAGGCACATGAAGCGACCGCCCTTGCGCAAGACGCGGTGGGCTTCCGCGAGTGCTTTCTACGCGTTCGTGCTTGAGCAGCCGTAAGATGATGGTAGAAAACTTACGTCGACGTGCGTGACGTTGCGGATGCCAAACGCGATTGTGTAGACGTCGAACGAGTCGGACTCGAACTGGAGCTGCTCGGCGTCGCCTTGGACCCACGAGAAAGACGGACGCGCGCCCGGCAGGCCAATGCCACGCGCAGTCGCTCGCTCTTCGCCGACGCGGAGCATGGACGGGTTGATGTCACAGACCACAATGTCCGTGCGGCCCGACGCCATCTCTTCGGGCGTCGCGGTCGATGGCAGACCGCCCTTGGTCAAGCGCTCCGCCATGCGGAATGCAATGTCGCCCGTGCCACCGGCCACGTCGAGGATGCGCAGCGGCTCGCCTGCAGCATAGCATGAGCTCGACGGCGCGTTCTCGTCAATGATCGATTCGTCATACCCGTCTTGTGCGGAAGCGGGCCGAGCATGTTGACAAACTCGTCCTTCCAGAGGCGGTGCATGCCACCGCTCATGGCGTCGTTCATCATGTCGTAGCTACCCACGTCCATGAGCATGCGACATCGCTACTTTGCAGACTACCTGTCGGCGACGCTGTGGAAGACGCCAGCAACCATCGGCTTCTTGTCCTGCTCGTCGACCTGCTGGAAGCCAAAGTGCGTCGTCGCCTTCTGCTGCGTCGAGAAGCACCGGCGGAGGAGCGGCGAGGCGGCGCGGCGCGGGAGCATCTTGCGGCTGCTGTCGAAGGGAAACGAACGATTGGCAATCCTGCGGACTCGACAAAACCGACCAATCAGACGCGCCGATTCCGTAGGCTAATGACACGCAACTCGGACGCCGTCGCGGCCGATCGCGCCTACGCGGCTGGCCAGCTCACCACTGGCTCGCCACGTTTGTGGAGAAGGAGCCCCACGGCGACAGTCTAGTGCGTCGAGCGGCCTCGTTTAGCTCTGCCGCATCGCATTGAGTGCATGTGAACAGACACGCATGCCAGCGCCATCGACTTCGCGAGCCTTCCTCCGCTGCAAGTGAGCCATCCCAGTCGAAAGATAGACGTGCAGCGATGCGATCGCTACCTCTAGCGCAGTGTAGCCCATGGACTTTGTGACGAGGACGAGCTGCCACGTTGGCGTGGCGTCTGTCGGCTGGTGGCTTCGGCGGCAGCCAATGCCACGCCGTCGCTCGCTCTCTACCCGTGTTAGCGCCGCCCGCTCGCCGTGTGCACGGACTGCAAGCGCACGAAGCGTGCCATGGCGTACAGCGCCGATGGAGCTTGTCCTCGGAGTGCTCCACCCATGGACTGTACGACGTGCCGTCCGTCGCGCCTGTATCGCACCGCCCTCTCGCCCGCATGCACTGAATGGTGCTACCGACGCGGGCCACCGAGCGCCACTGCAACGCCATGTCCCACGTCTAGCGCCGTCGCGTGGTCCTCGTCCCACCTGTTGCGGCCACGGGTGCTGCGGCGGATTCTTGGCAAATTCGAGAAATTTTATAATTGGTTGTCGTTTAAAATCGATCTTTCATGGCGGACGGCGACAGCAGCAGCGACGCGCTGGCCTTCGACTCGTCGACCGAGGCGACGATCCACAACGTGACCCGATCGAGGTGCAGACGTTCCAGCTCGTCTCAGAGCTCCTCTCGCCCGAGATCGACGAGCCGGAGCGCATCCGCAAGATGAACTGGCTGGCCGAAGTCCTCGAGAAGGCCGAGGCCGCGTTCCGCCAGACGCAGCCGAGCCCCGCGCGCCGCGACGGCCACCTCGTCGGCCACCTCTTCCGCATCCTCGACGACTTTGAGGACTTTTACACGATGCTCGAGCGCAAGCTCCAAGGCGACGCGGCCGACCGCGTCCGGAACGAGCGCATGAACGCTGCGGTCTGCCGGCTCTTCCTCGCCACATCGCCTGTCCACACGCGCTTCATCGTGCGCACGCTGTACGAAGAAGACGTGCTCGACCGCGTCTGTCGCTGGGCCGAAGGCGCGCCCGGGCCGCTGCCGCCGCATGGGCTGCAGTTGCAGTGCTACGCGGCCGGGCTCCTCTCGGTCGGCCTCCGCGACCGGTCGATCGCCGATACAGTCGTCAACCATGCAACGCTGCCCGTAAGCTTGCTGCGGCGGTCGCGCTACTACGCCATGGCACTCGAGAACGAGCGCGCGATGGCGCTCGAGTACATGGCGACGATGCAGCAAAAGAAGCTCCCGAAAGGCGCCAAGAAGCCAAGCAGCGCGACCACGCCGACCGCAGCCAAGCGCCGGAAGCTCTCGATCGACAAGACGACGTGCATCGACGACGCGAGCCCATCGCTTGCCGGCGCCGACATCTCGGATCGCCTCGTGCACGGGCTCCAGGACGACACGCCGTCCATGACGCCAGAGGACATTGCGCGGCGCCACGAAGAGCCGCCCAAGCAACTCTTGCTCCTCGACCTGCTGTACTGCCTCGAGTGCCTCGGGCTCATGGGCGAGTACCTCGAGCTGCTCGCGCCCGCGCTCAAGGAGGACGTCCTCGGGACGATTGTGACCTTTCTGCACAGCCCGCACCCGACGCTCTGGTCGGCGACGCTCAAGCTCACGTCGCACTTTCTGGCCCACAAGAAATTTGCTTTCTCGTTTCTCGACGCCGGTGGCCTCCAGCTCGTGCTCGGGCGCCAGCGACCAGAAGAAATCGCGCTGCTCCACCGGTCGATGAGCATGTGCCTTCACGGCTTTGCCTCGTCGTCGGTGGTCATGGAGACCATCTTTCGCCGCGAGAGCGACCGCAGCGCGCTGCTGCTCATGGCGCTGACGCTCCTCGGGAGCCCGCACGACAAGGCGCGGCAAAACGCAGTGGTGTTCTTTGGCCTCGTGCTGCCGTTCCGGTCGGCGCTCGAGTTTTTCGAAGCCAACGACGGCGTGTACATCCTCCTCAACCTCATTCGCGCGGGGAATGCGCCCAAGACGGCGGCGCAGCGCCAGCTCGCGCACGACGCGTGTCTGTGCTTGCGCCAATATGTCCGCGTGCACTTTGGCCTGCTTGTCTACGCGCTGCGTCGGAAGCTCCATGGCCCGAACAGCCGCATGCCGAAGCTCTCGCCGTACAAACCGATTGATATTGACGACAAGAGCCATGAGACGCATGTCCTCCTCTTTGAGAAGCACGGCAAAGGCTTAAAGGACGCGAAATGGGTGCTCGGCCTCATGCATTTGCGGGCGCCGTTGGTGCTTCTCGAAGTCTTGAACGTCTTTTGCAAGCAGTCGTCGCGGGACCTCGACCAAGAACCGACCTCGTACCGCGTCTGGCTCGTCGAGCGTGCGCAGTTCTCGCTCCAAGCGCTGCGGCTCCTCACGCTCGTGCACCCACCGATTGCACCGGACGTTTGCGCGACCACGCTCGCCGATGGACGGAAGAGCGGGCTCTCGATCGTGCTCGAGTGTGCGATGAGCACGCACTTTCGCGACGGCGACATTGTCCGCGACGCGCTCCACGTCTTTGGCAACTGCGTGTACCCGCCCATCAAGGCCAAAGAGTCGAGCGAGTCGGCTGCGGTCAAGAGCATCCTCAAGCTCGCGCGGGACAAGAGTGCGCTCAAGGTCTGTCTCTCGCTGCTTCGGTACAAGCGGTCGCTCCAGCACGCCGACAGCGTCCGGTTCCTCGCCGCACGGGCGCTCCTCGGTCTCTCGCGCGACCGCCACGTGGCGCAGATCCTCGAGCAAATGCAAATCGGTAATCCTCCATTTGCTTGGTTTGGAGATTCGGATTCGGATTGATGTAGGCCAACTCCTATCGGACTTGATCCGGCACGATCCCGTGCTCGAAGAGAATGCCGACCTTCATCTGCGCTTCAAGGAGGTGGCGCTCGAGCTCATCTCGCACGTGACACACCGCGTGCCGAGCAGTGCGATCCACGAAGCGACCGACCCAACCGTGCGCAAGATTGAAAAGGCCAACATCGTCGCCGCCACGCACATTACGTACAACCCCAACGACCTTCTTCTCTTGATCCACGACCATCTCAAGGCCAACGGATTGCATGGCGCAGCCGACGCGCTCGAGACCGAGGCGCAGCTCAAGCAGCACGCGTCGTCGTCGGGCCCGGGCAGTCCAAACCCACGTCGTCGTCGCTTCGTCGGACCAAGTCCCACGACGACGCACTGCTGCTGTCGCCGAGCTCGTCGCCGCGCCAGAGCAAGCGCTTGAAACCCGACGTGAAGCTCGGGCGCGTATTGTCGTTTGCGCAGCGCAAGAAGCACGTGGCGCGGCAGCTCAACGCGCCGCACTACTTTGAGACGCCGGTTGTCGACTCAGTCAAGAAGAAGGCGCTCAAGCGCGACGTCAAGACGACGTGGCTGGACACGGTCGTGCGGCAGTACTGCCGCGAGCAGCACCGGCAGTGTCCGAACCCGGTTGCGATCGTGCCGCCCTTCTCGCTCGCGTCCTCGACGCCGCACGAGTGTCCGGACGTCGCAATGGCGGCGCCGACGTACGCCAACATTGGCAGCAGCCTCGTTGTCCGCAGCGCACTCGGCAGCACGCGCCGCGTGGACACGAGCATGACGCGCTTTGTGTATGGCCGGCACCGCGCCTTCCGCGTCGTCAGTACGTAAAGATATCGTGGATAGGGCAGGATCGTAGGATGCGTAGGTCACGGAACCGACGTGCAGGGCGGGCTCACGGCCGCCAAGTTTCTCTCAGTGCCGCGCGACCGCCATATTTTACTGGGCACCGACCAAGGCGAGCTCTGCTACGTCAACTTGGAGCAAGATGCCATTGTCGGGCGCTGGCAGTGCCACTTGAACGCGGGACCGATCACGAGTATCTCGACCAACGAGCACACGCGACTCGCCTTCTCGCATGCGAGTCCCCTCGTCCTCACGGGCACGTCGCGGTACAATATCCTCCATCGACGAAAAAGAAGAGGAGGCAGCGAACGATATATGTAGGCTCTCGCAGTACGTGCAGGCGACGATCGGGCTTTGGGACCTCGGCCGCATGGAGACGCCGCGCTGGACGCTGCCCGGCATGCGCGCCGGCACCTTCAACCACGCCGGCGACCGCGTCGTGGCCATGGCGTACGAAGCGGCGACGCACGCGGTATTCGACCCGTCGATCGCGAGTCCGGTGCGCGGCACGGCCATCTACGAGGTCGAGACGGGTACCTTGTTGAGGTGTCTTCAGTGTATCATCCTATGTGGGGGTAGGGTCCATGGTGGCGCAGCTGGAAGACCCAATTCGGCCCTATGGCATTTACGGCGATGCGACTAACTGCGTGTTTTCGCCCTGCGACACGACCGTGCTGGCCGACGGCATGCTCTGGGACCTCCGCGTCTCGCGCGCGTTGCATCAGTTTGACAAGCTCTCGAACGACGGCTACGGCTACTTTCACCCGACCGGCAACGAAGTGTTTATCAACTCGGCAGTCTGGGATCTCCGCACGTTCAAGCTGCGGCGGATGGTGCCCGCGCTCGAGCAGAGCCGCGTCGCCTTCAACCACAACAACACCGTCTTGTACGCGTACTCGCCGTTTGAGCCGCTCATGGTCCGTATCCTCCCTCTGTACATGAGAAGGCTGAGAATCCGAGTAGAAGGAAAGCTCCAAGAAGATGCTCAAGCACAAGACTTGGTTTCGCGTCCTCGACGCACGCGACTACAAGGACATCTCGACCGTCGACGTCGAGCGCCCGATCTACGATGTCTCGCTCAACTACCAAGAGACGCTGCTGGCGGTCCGCGTCTCAACCATCAAGATGTGCTCACGTTCGCATGGTTTTTAGATCGTCGAAGGCCGGTACCTCGACTCGGTGTACGGCGAAGACACGCCCGTCTGCCGCCTCTACGAGGTGGAGCAAGCGTGGGGCTCCAGAGGACTGACTTATCACACGGCTAGGTGGGTCGCAACAAGCCCAACGAAGCCGACTCGGACCTGGAGGACAACGTTGAGGAATCCGAGTCGATGGTGCGGTGCTCCAAGTCTAGTTGACGCGTTGCCATCGGTGGTGTAGGAGGACGACGATTTCGAGTCCACGTCGAGCTTGGAAGAGGAAGAGGAAGTGGATGAGGAAGACGACGAGGATGACGTGATGGAAGCGAATGGGAGCCTGAGCGACGACGACGCCATGTCGGACGATGATGCGTACTCGGAGGGCGCCTCGTCCCAGGGCTACGACACGGAAGACCTGCACGCGCTGCTGCGGCTCGAGATTCCGGACAATGCGTACCTGACGTTTGGCAGTGAGTACGACGACGATGACGAAGACGGTGACGATGAAATGTCGGACGACGGCGACGACGAGTAGAGCCTTTCCATATAACGAACTGCAAGCCCTAAACGCCACCGTTGAGTACAGTGTACATTGTGTCGTGACTTCAAATCCCGCACATTGCGGATAAAAATATACCGTTGGGACAGACGCCATGGAGCGTTGCCAAGATGGCGCGGGACCACCGAACATGGCGCCCCTCGCAACGGCAGCGTCCGCGCATGTTGTCGTCGGCTGCTATTTCCAGCATACTGCCTTTCGCCAGTATGAGGTCGCCGCCAGACGCTCTGGTCCTTCTTCTACTGCTGCAGCTGCTGAGTAGTAGCGTGCGCGGCTGCATCCACCACCAAGTGCTCGAGACCACGACAAGCGTCACGGCGCCGCAGACGTACGGTCGACTCCGAGGCCACCGCATGCTGCAGGACGCACCGCCGAATTCTCTCTACAAGCCGCTCCGGCTGCAAACGCATTTTGACAATGCGACGATCTCGCAGCTCTCGTCGGCGAGCCAAGTGTTTTTGACGCAATTCCTCGTGCCCGCGGCGGTGTCGTTCTGGTCGCAAGCCCTCCACGTCGTGCCGGTCGTCGATGGCCTCGCTGCCACACGCACGTGCACGGGCACCTCGGGTGCTGGCTGCACCTCGGTGCAAGCCAACCAGCTCTGCGTCGACATGCCGATTCCGGAGGCCCACTTTGCACCGACGCCACTCTGCAACGCCAGTGGCGTCTGCTCCACGATTCTCGGCGAGACGAACACGCCGATTCCCAACACGGACATGCTGCTGTACGTGCGCGCGGCGACGACGACCAGCTGCGTCAGCAACGTGCTCGCGTACGCCGCGTCGTGCCAGCGCGACCAACTGGACCGGCCGATCTTTGGCATGATCAACTTTTGCCCGAATTTCATCAACCCGTCCCAGCGCGCCGGCCCGATCTTCAACCAGCAGCTCACGACCGCGATGCACGAGATGGCCCACGCCCTCGGCTTCTCAGCGTCGTCGTACCCGCTCATGAGGCTTCCCGACGGCACGCCACGCACGCCGCGCGCCACCGGTGGTCGCACGGGCCCGACGGTGCCGATGCCGGGTGTCTGCAACGGCGCGACGACGAGGACGACCAGCAGCGTCTTTCCGAGCAACTCGACGATCGTCTACCGAACGCTGCGCGGGCGGTCGGTGGCGACGATGGTGACACCGGCCGTCGCCCGGTTTGCCCAGCATTTCTTCAACTGCTCGACCGTGCCCGGCGCCGACCTCGAGAACAACGACCCCGCCTGCCTCGGCTCGCACTGGTGCGTCGTATCTGTATAAACGAGTGTCGTCCATAGTGCGCGCGTAGGGAGGAGCGGCTCTTCTCGCTCGAGAGCATGTCGCCGGTCCTCAACTACAATGGAAATGCGTTCACGGCGCTGACGCTGGCCTTCTTTGAAGACACGGGGTGGTACCAGCCCAACTACACGCTCGCGACGCCCTTGTACACGGGCATGAACCAAGGCTGCGGCTACACCACGGCGCCGTGTCTTGCCAACGGCGCGACCGTCGACAGCGACGTGTTTTGCTCGAGCATGACGGAGGCGTGTGCGCCGGCGCTGCTCGCACGCTCCAACTGCGCGCGGGCCAACTACACGAGCGCACTGCCGTCGATCTACCGGTACTTTCCAACCATCACGGACGGCGGGTATTCTTTTGCTTGAAATCGCCACGATTTAACGTCATGCTAGCACCAACATGTACGCCGACTATTGTCCGCTCAACGCGGGGTACACCAACGGCGACTGCAGCTTTGCCTCGAACCTGCTCAAGCTGCCGTGGAGCACGATTCCCGCGCTCGGCGAGGTCTATGGCACGGCGAGCCGGTGCGCCCTCACGACGCTGCGGCAGAGCGACATGAAGGGCGCGACTGTCCATGGCCGGTTCGCAGGCTGCTACGCCATGCGCTGCAATGCGTCGACGACACCACCGACGGTTCTCATCACGGTGGCGCAGACAGCGTCCGTTTCGGTCGTTGTGACGTGTGCCGAGAAAGGCCAGGCCGTCGCCGTGCCGGGGTTCACCGGCGCGATCTCGTGTCCAGACCCGTTTGTCGTTTGCAACCTCGGTAGCTGCACACCGGGCTGCGACGACACGGCCATGTGCATCAACGGGCGCTGCGTGTCGGCGACGACGATAACGCCGGTGTCGTCGACGCCGCCAGCGACAACGACGTGCGTGCCGGCGTCGACATCGATGCCGGTAGGCGGCCCTGTGCCAGCAAGCGATCCGACGTCGGACTTTACGCCGACGCCCGTGACGACATTGACGAGCGGCAGCAGCTCGGACAACCCGACGTTGCCCATTACGCTCGACCCGCCGACGACGAATGGGACGACATCACCACCGGGCGACACACTACAGACGGGTGGCGCACCTCGCACATCAGCACCTCGACTGCTTGGGCTTCTGTCCGTACTTGGCGCCATCCACTACGGCCTGTAGGTTACATGAATCGAGTTGCCCCCATTTTTGAATATATTGCCAATTCTGATCTTTCCAACCAAATCCTGTGCTGTGGTGCTGCCACGTACCTAGCACGCTGAAACGACTTGTGTCGGCAACCGCTGCCCGAAATACGTTGCACGTTTAGAGACGCAAACGAGCACGAAGTAGTAGCATGCGCGTCACGGCTCTTCTGCTTGCGGCCAGTGCCGTCGCCGGCCACAAGTGCATTCACAACGCGCTCTCGGCGCACGAGCTGCGCACGATCTCGAGCCAGAGCTACGACAGCCATCCATTTGACGTCGACTCGCGCCGCCTCGAGGCTGCGGTTGACGCTGCGTCGGCGGCCATCCAAGTCGCCGCCTCCAACTACAAGCCACTGCGCATCACGCCGATCTTTGACGACGCGAGCTTTGCTGCGCTCTCGTCCGCGAAGAAGCAGCTGATCCTCGACAAGCTCGTGCCCGACGCGATCGCTCATTGGCAGAGCACGCTCCAAGTACGTATGGTACCCTCGATCGCCGTATGCATACGCCGCTTCTTCGCTAGGTCATTCCCATCAACGGCACGTGGTATGCCACGCGCCAGTGCACGTCCGTGTACAACACGAAGCCGCCCGTGTGCGCCAGCGTCGCCGCGTCGCAGAGTTGTTTGGACCAAGAGATCCCGCCGGCGCACTATGGCGCGATCAAAGTGTGCTCGAGCTGCACGACGGCGGGCTGCACGTGCACGACGCAAGCCGGTGGCACCGGTGTCGCCAATACCGACTACGTGCTGTACGTTCGCGCGGCTCAAACTACGCACTGCGGCACGTCCGTCTTGGCGTACGCGACGAGCTGTCAGCAAGACCAGGTACTACAGTAGTCTCTCGACCTTGCAACTCATCGATGGGCCAACTAGTACGACCGGCCGACCATGGGCATCGTCAACTTTTGCCCCAACAAGCTCAATACGGCGACGGCAGCGTACGAGTTGCAGCTCGGCACAGCGACGCACGAGCTCGCGCACGCCCTCGGCTTTACCGCGCAAATGTACGCCTACATGCGGCACGCCGACGGCACGCCACGCACGCCGCGCGATGGCACGACCGGTACGATCGTTGAAACCGAAGAAAAAATTGCAAAATACACAACAAATACATAGGGCAGCCGCCATTATTGACCAACTACAAGTGCCCGAACGGCGTCACGGCCTCGGCGGTGATGCTGCCGAGCACGAAGACCATGCAATTCTTCACCGAGCGCGGCCACGCCGTCGCCAAGCTCGTGACACCCAACGTCATGGCGTACGCCCAAACCCACTTTGGCTGCTCGACGCTGAACGGCGTCGAGCTCGAAAACCAGGACGCCGGCGCGTGCTTTGGGAGTCACTGGGAAGAGCGGATTTTCGAGCCCGAAATGATGAGTCCGCTTCAGAGCTTCCGGAACGTCCAGTCGGGTCTGACGCTGGTTGGTCTCATTTCGATAGACCCTAGCCCTATGTTGGACTCGTAGGCGTATTTCCAAGACTCGGGGTGGTACCGAGTCAACTTTACAAGCGCCGAGCCCATGTACTGGGGCGCGGGCCGCGGCTGCAGCTTTGCCATGGACAGCTGCGTCACGCGCCATGCAGCCAATGGCACGAGCACATCGAATGTTCCGGATCACTATTGCGTCGACGAGGACGTGGATGCGTGCACGGTCGACCTCACGGCCCGGGCGTTCTGCACGCTCTCGACGACGACGACTGCGATCCCGAGCTACGCCCAGTACTTTACCAACGCCGCGCGCGGCGGCTCGTCGTTCCCCGACTTTTGCCCGATTTTGGCCGGGTACGCCCAAGGCGACTGTCGCATTAGCACCAATTTGCAGTACCCGACCAACACCAACATCAACCTCCTCGGCGAGACGTACGGCAGCAGCAGCTACTGCCTCAAGTCGACGCTGCTCTCGTCCAACAACGCCGGGTGGCGCATTCCAGACCGCGCGACCGGCTGCTACGCCGTGTCATGTACCAACACATTGCTCACCATCACGGTGGCCGGTCCCGCGGGCGCGATTACAAAGACGTGCTCGCAAAAAGGCCAGGCCCTGACCTTTGACGCTTCAGCGTTTGAAGGCACGCTCTACTGCCCCGACCCATTCATCGTCTGCAACACGGGGCAGTGCTCGCCGGCGTGCGGGGCCAACGCCGTCTGCGCCGGCGGCTCGTGCGAGTGCTTGGACGGCTACGTGAAGGCGTCGAGTGGCGCGTGCGACCCTGTCTGCCCGAACGCGTGCTCAGGCAACGGCGCGTGCGACACGGGCAGCGCGACCTGTACGTGCAACAGCGGCTTCACGGGCCCGAGCTGCAACACCACAGGCGGCGCCGTCACGACCACGAAGGGCGACAACCATGCGCACGCCGTCACCCTCCATGGACTCGTCGCCGTCGCCGCCATCGCCCTCCTCCACTTGTAGCCGTGCCTCGATGAGAATCAACGCACAAGAGTTGATATCCACATACATACTAACATATATCTATGATCGCAGTCGACCACGGTATTTTAGTCGAGGCACAGCTTCGTGGCACGGTTGTCGACGCGCGAAAATCGTCGGTCGAGGGTAGAAACAAGCAGCCTGTTGACGCGCCACGCTGACGCGCCACTGCACCGACCAGCTTGGGTGGAGGCGCGCTCTCTGGTCTCTCTTAACTGTACGAACCGTCGAGAGAGATCCCGCACGAAGAGGACGTTCGAAACACCTATCAGCTCACCCATGGTCGTCCTCGTTGCTGCCGCAGTCCTCTCTGGTAGCTGGATGCTGGGAGGTGCCAATTTCGCCCAAGTTGCAACCCATACTCGCTCCGAATCGACGGCTTTTGCCGGGCTCGAAGCGGCGTCGCTTTTCACGCGCCCGCCTTTCTGCGGTACCCACGAGCACTGAATTTCCGTCGTCAACATCGCCAGGCTCGGCTCGAAAGGACTATGGATCTCAGTATACTAGTTTGTGAGTGTTGGTGGTTGTCTCTCGAAAACCATCTGCGTTTCGATTGCATTGAGAGAGTTGTCCGGCATCCGCGTCTCTGATTGGCTCGCACGTGGCGGACCGGGCGCCTGTGAGTTACAACTACCGAACTACCGGCCAAGTCTCTGGCAGCGCCACCACGTGCTTCTACAGCTTGCTACAACACATCATTCGCATGGGCATGGGCAGCACTGTCTCCGCATACGATTCGCCTGCTGACCACCCACGAGCTCATTCGTCGATCAGCCATCGCAGCATGGGAAGCATGGTCGAGACGAACATGACCTCCGCAGGCGCCGCGAGCTTTCTCCAGCACGCCGACGTGATGATTGCATCCGTCGACGATTCGTACGAGGGCGGCCACCGGCACACCAAGTACATCATCCAGGTCACGGAGCGCGGCCACGGCCACTACGTCGTCTCGCGCCGCTACTCGCAGTTCCGCGTGCTCGCCGACGCCGTCCGCTCGATCCTCTCGCGCACCAAGACGCGCGCGACCAAGTCCAACGCAGCCCACGACGCAGCCTGCCTCGCACTCCGCGGGTTTCAATTCCCAAAGAAAGTGATGCATTTTGGCTTTCTCGGCACGCCGTCGACGGCCAAAGAGGTGGTGTTTGACCGCCTGCGGCAGTTGCACCTGTACCTCCAAACGCTCTGCCACGTGCTGCGGACGTTCCATTGGGATGCCTCGTCGCAGAAGCTCAATGCGATGGCCCGCGACCAGGCCAACATGCTCGCGCGGCTCCTCCATGGCTTCCTCGCCGTGCCGGCCTCCTTTGGCGTCAACCCGAGTGCGTACGTGCACACGAACCCCATGTGCCGCAACCTGGCGTCGGTCTACTGCGCGCAGCACGCCGTCCTCCAAGAGAACGCGTCCAAGAAGCAGCAAGAGTTCGCAGTGCAAGCCGCGCACCGCGCCAAGCCGTATGCGACCATGATCGACACCTACGGCACGGCGCTCGAGTCGCAGTGGCACCCGAGTGGCACGATCCGGTCGTCGCGCGCGCCGTCGTACCCGGTCTACAACCGCAGTACAAAGGCGTCCGTGGTGCGCCCGAGCATCGTTTTTCTGCACGACGACGACCCGGCGTCGTCGCTCCACCACGGGCAGCAGCGCAACAACCACAGCAGTTTGCTCTCGATGGACGACGACATCCCGCTTCTCTGCAGCTCCTCCGGCTGTGGTTCCCCACGCGACACCATCTTCCTTGGCGATTAGCAGCCATCCTTATCTCCGTGTCTCTAAGTTATATTATCATCCAAGTAGTAGTCAAATTTGTCCAACGCCGCTGGCCTTTCCGAGTTTGCACTTGCATAGCCCGTAGCTCCTTGGACGAGAAAAGAGAATAAGCACAATCCGCTGAGTCTTCCAGACAGCAGCAGCGTAGTATCGCATTACGTAGCCAGAGTGCCAGGTTGCGTCGGCTCGGGCTTGTTGTCCTCACTCTTCACGGCGTTGGCGTCGTGGCGCTCGTTTTCCAGCCACACCTTCTTGCAAGTTTGCTAAGGGTTCTTGGACGGTAAACAGCTTGGAGAGCAGTGCGCTCTCGACAGGCCAACTGCCGAGATCGACAGCCACGTTTCCGAGATGCCGATGGGGCAAGTAGACACATTTAGGAGGCTCTCATCCGTATGTCGAGTGTGAGACTGTTGACGTCAACGATGTCCAGCTCATTGTAGGCGTGCTTTGCGAGACGCGATGCAAGATGTAGACGAGAGAAGATGGGACGTCGTCGGTTAGGAGGACATCGTCAAATCGGTTTAGGCCAACGCCTCGAGCTCGGCTTGGAGCGCACCTTCGTTCGCAAGCTTGGCGAGCTGGTCCTCGTTGAGCGTATCGCCGTTGGCCTGCTTGACCTTGTAATCCTGGATCTGCTTGAGCTTCTTCTGCACGGCCTTGGCCTTCTTGGCCTTCTCCTCGGGCGTCAAGACCACTAACCACTCGGTTTGCCTCGGTTCCAAGACGCATGCGTACGTACCCTGGGCCACAGGCACGGCGACCGTGGCGAGGAGCGCAGCGGCGGCCTTCTCGATCTCGGCCTTGGCAGCCGCAGCTTCGATCGCCTTCTTCTTCTTCTCGGCCTTGCTGGGCTTCTTGACGACGGGCGGAGCCATGCCAGGAATCACGCCCGAGCCGCCGATCGTCTTGACCGGCGCGTACTTGTTGCGGTCGAGCTTGCGCGCGCCCGTGCCTTCTTCACGGCGGAGCATCGCGGCGAGCGCACCCGTCGAGTTGGGCGGGCGGTACGCTTGGCGCACCGGCGCCGGCGGCGCAATCGTGGCTTCCTACAGCAGCCCTCCATGTCATATCCGAGTGCTTGGATGACAACCAACCTCTTCCTTGGAGCGCGGCGTGGCCGGGCGGTTCGGGTACACACCCGCCGCCGCGGGGCGGAACTGGAGGTCGTAGATCTCGTCACGCGACTCGGACACGACGGGGCCAATGCCGTCGTACTTGAAGATCTTAAAGCCGTTGTCGACGCGGACACTAGACATGTCGTCAACTATCAACCTATCAAGATATCGAATATATATATCTACCGAGGAAAGGTCGTCGCGGTCGCAAAATAGCGCGAGTCGGGCGACCAGCCATGCCTACACCATGTCATCAACACACAATATCGTCATCTCGTTGTTAGACGTACACGGTGGCGCATTCGGACGTCGCGGACCCAAGCTTCTTGAGCTTGTTGCGGTCCCAGAAATCCATGTGGCCCGGCAAATTGCCAAAACCCTACCATGCGTGTCGACATGTAGAGAAGCAATGATCGGTGTTGCGTACGGCGAGGCAGAGGAACCGGCCGTGGGGGCTCCAGCTGATCGTGTTGCGCGAGGCAGCGCCAAACTCAAACACAGGGCACGCCTGGTTGTCGTAGAGCTACACCGCGTATCCAGAGCGTCAACGAATAGGCCACATCCACTCGACTGTACCGTGGCGTTGGCCGGCATCGAGCCCGCGAGCACGACAAAGCCGCGCGAGGTCGGGTCCCACTGCACGTCGTGCACGGGGCCTTGCTTGGTCACGGGGATGCTGCAGTCGTACTGGCCATCACTACGACGTATGAGACAAGTTGCACGAGGCGAGGGATAGGGTCACAACCTCTGGAGGAAGAAGAGGTTGGTCTCGCCGTAGTACGACTTGCCCGACGTGTCGACGTCCGTGCTCGTCTCGATGATGAGCGCCGACCCGTTCGGTGCCCACTTGAGCTTGACGTCTTGAGCCTTGTAAAAGCTCTTGAACGCGACGTGCGACTGCGATGCGTTGGGCGGGAACGGGTAGACGCGGACGCTCGCGGGCTTGCCCTTCTTCTCGGGCACGAAGAGCGCAATCTTGTACGGAATGCTGCCGGGCGCGACGCTAAACTTGGCCGTGTTCTACTCGATACATTGATATTCACGAAGTGAAACAATTTTTGAATGGAGACCTCGAGAACGATGTTGCCAATGTGGCCAGCGCCAATCGCGCGGCCATTGTACACTTGGACCTAATCCACCAGCAGCGCGAATGAGGGGATCGATCGTGCGACGAGAGGCAGAGCGTACGCCGCTGCCGCTGAGGCGCGCGGCGATCGTTTCGTCCGAGCTCCACTGGATCGACGGCCAGTGCTACATGATGATGGAGGTAAGCAAGGCGAGCGGACGAGAGGGTGATGGCGTACGTCGCGCGTGTACGTCTTCTGGTTGAAGCGCGCGACGATCGAGCCGTTCGAAACGTCCCAGACAATGAGGTTGCCTAAGACATGGAGGATGGTGATTCTTGATCGAGGTCGTGGATGCATTCGCACCTTCGGTCGAGTCCTTCACAGGGCGCTGCCACGTGACGAGCTGCGTCGCAAGCGGCGACCAAGCGACGGCCTGGATACCCGGGTTGGCGACTTCAACAAGCACGTCGTTCCTGCAAGCTGCGTGTAAGCGATGGCAGAACGAGTGGACGACGACGTACGTCTCGGTCGCGCGCACGACAAAGCCAAGCTCCGTCGAGATGAACGCAGCCTTACTACCGTCGGGGCTCATAAACATGTTGTCGCACGTCGAGAGCGTGGCCTCGGCCTCGATCTTGCGCAGCGCGAGATCTTCGGGCGTCACGGACGGCAGGCCCCAGAAGGGCTCGACGCTCTAGTAGCCGCATGAGACGCCACCCCAGCGCATGCGGGTACAGTACCGTCTTGCCACGGACGTAGAACTTGGTACGCGGTGCTTCTACGCAGCGCCCTCTCATGCATCGGCGGGCTGGCCAAAGCTACGTACCTTGCGCTTGCGCTTGGGCCATCGCGCTGATTATTTGTTTGGTGATGGAGCCAACGGCTCCGATCAAGTCCGCCGGACTTAATGGGGCATATTACATTTTGAATAGTGTTCTATTAAGAGTGATGGTGGGTACGAAATAGTGTTGTAGGTCTGCCTGAGCAATATGCAGCTAGGTCAGCAGAGCCAACACGGTCTCTCTGACCGCGCTGTACACGCATCTCACCCTGCGCTGGATTTCGAGGGCAGTCCTTGAAAGAAACAGCTGCACGCTTCGATAGTACGCATGCGGGATCGCTTGAGCTACAGCCAACGCCCTTGTCGCACGGTGCTTGCGATCCGTTTAAAAACTTCGGCTTGGTTCCATGGAATCTGGATCGACCTGCGGCGATGGTCCATGCAATCGAAACAGTTTGGCCATGGTCGGCCACGTCATCGCGAGATCGGTTTCGATGCAGCGTCGCTGGGGTATCTTCGGTGGCGGGGAAAGCACGAAATAGTGTACGTCGTGTGCCCTGTCGATCGCACTTAATCGGGCGATGGCGTTTTGGTATGTCGGACCACTTGTTTTTACACTTGACGTTTGTATTGAAATAAAAACGAATGACAAGCGGCGCCATTTTACAAAGTGACATGACGAGCGAGCTCCGGTCCCGGCGCAAGGCGCCGCTGCAGGTCGAGACCAGCAGCGCGTCGCCTACTGCAGAGAAGCCAAGCGCATCGCCAGCGACGGTCTCTGCCGGCAACGCCTTCCGCGCCAGCCGCGAGCATGGCTTGGACGGGCTCCTCCTCTTCCAGGAAGAGCCACGTCAGTTCCTCTTCCTCTTCCTCGTCGTCGTCGCCGTCGCACACTACTCGTTCACGCACGACTCGGACGTACGCCTGCCCTTGGTACCGATACGAAGCTCATGCGTTCGTAGGATTTCGAGCTCAACGTCCGCAATGGGCTCTGGTCGGCCAGCTTTATCTTCCTCGCGTACTGCTTTCTCCAGACGCGCGACGGCCTCCTCGTGCGCCCGCATCCCGGCGTCTGGCGCATCGTGCACGGCCTCTCGGTGCTGTACCTTCTGTTGCTCGCGGCCTTGTCCGTGCAGAACCTGGCGTCGGCGACTGCGGCCATTCGCGTGCTCTTTCCCGAAGTGGGCACGAAGGCGACGGCGAAGCCATCGACGTCTTTGAACTGCGAGATCAACTCGACGGTAGGTCGATGCCACATATTGTCTACTGGACAATAGAGCCCATGGCGGTGTGTAGACGCTGTACCGGGGCGTCTCGAGCATCTGGTTCCTCGCGCACGTCACGGGGTGTGGGGCAAGATGTGCATGTTCCGCGACTGGCGCTTCTGCTGGGTCCTCGCCGTCGCGTTTGAGCTCCTCGAGCTCATTTTCCAGTTTGTGATTCCCGACTTTCAAGAATGCTGGTGGGACTCGCTCTTTATGGACCTCTTTGGCGCCAACTTTATCGGCATGTGCCTCGGCCGCCTCACGCTCAAGTACCTCGAGACCAAGGAGTACGACTGGTCGGGCAAGAAGGGCTACGTCCGGCGCGCGCTCAGCCAGTTTACGCCGTTCAGCTGGTCGCGCTACGACTGGGAGGTCTTCTCGAGCTTCAAGCGATTCGCGCTCGTACAAATCGATTGATCATCATCGTCGCAAGTCGTCTCCACGAGAACGCGTAGGTGGCCGTCGCGGTGTTTGTGTGCCTCCTCGTCGAACTCAACGCGTTCTTCCTCCTGAGCACGCTCAACATTCCAAAGGAAAGCCACATCAACAAGTACCGGCTCGGTCTCATCTTCATGCTGGGCCTGCCCGCGGCCTCCGAGGTAGGCGACCCAATGCATGCTCTGGTATCGTGATGTGTTCATGACGATGAATTGCAGTACTTTGAGTTTGTCACCAACCCCGCGTGCTGGCGCCTCGGCCAGAACGCGTGGATGATGTGCAGCATCGGCGTGTTTGAGGTCCTTGTCTGGGTCAAGTTTGCCGACGGCCTTGCCGGCACGTCGACGCCGCCGCCGGACGTGTACCTCCCGCTCTTGGCCTTTAGCGCGCTCTTCTCGCTCTGGATGCTCCTCTTCTTTAGTCAGCGCAAGACGGTACGCGCATGCAGCATATTGGTCTGTTGATTGGAATCGGCTAGGACAAGCCGTCGACGCACCGCCTCACGCTCCTCGATGTGCTCTTCTACGTCTCGTTCACGCCGCTTCTGTACCTGACCAAGCAGTGGGCGTACTGAGCGCAGTACCGGTAGCAACAAGCTCATAGACAAACAAGCAAATATACTACGTGGCTCGTGGCGATCCCCACGCTCTGCACGCTGCTGCTGCTTGTGCAACCATGTAGCAGTCAACCTACCTCCATGCGCCTCCATGGCTGCGTTGGACTGGGCGGGCTGGCAGCGTGGGCTAGCTCGCTGGCAGCCGTGATGGCGGATGACCTTTGCAGCTTGAAAAGGATGACGCCATCTTTCCGGATACGTGCATCGTGCCGGATACGGTGCCAGGTCGAGCAAAGAATGGAGGTCGAGCCGACGGTCGCGGACGCCCACGACGACGCCGAAGCATGGCTCGTCGACGTCAAGAAGATGCACAAGGAGCTCATGAAGCATGAGCTGGCGTGGCCCTTTCTCGAGCCTGTGGACCCCGTCAAGCTCAACATCCCCACGTACTTTCAGATCATTGAGCGGCCAATGGACCTCGGGACGATCCAGGGCCGGCTCCAGCTCACAGCGTCCGGCGACGACCACGACGAGATGGTCAATGTGTTTGGGCCGCCCGCGGCCATGACGACGTACGGCTGCATCGACGAGTACAAGAACGACCTGCTGCTTGTGTTTGACAATGCGATCAAGTTCAACGGCGACGATGGCCGCATCGAGTCGGTCGGGTACGCGTCTACCGCTCGTGCTGTAGCATCCGCGATCGTGATTCATCTAGGAACATGGCCAAGCGCATGCGCCAGCATGTCTTGGCGCGTCTTGCGTCGCAGTTTACGGTTGATCTTGGCATATCCGCAGGCGTGCTCATGGCTCTTGAATACTAGGACGCAAGCTTGACATGGGAAGAAAAGGTCGAGCTCAACTTGCTCCAAAAGAAGATCGCGGACGCCAAGGCCCAGGGCGTGCGGGAGCGCTGGAAGAAGGAGTCGTTCGTCGCGCGATGGAACCGGCAGAAGATCGAGTTTCGGAACGAAGTCGCCATGCAGGCCAGTCCGTAGCGGCGAATACATGACGTACTACAAATCGTTGGCGTCTCTTCTTGAGCCTCGCACGACGACCTCAGTTTGCATCCTGGCGTGCCACGAAGAGGCCTCGATTTGGCCTTTCTCTGCATGGGGCAGTCTGTACTCGCTTCAACTATCAACTGGCCGATGGCCTCTTGGCGGACGAGCGAGGTACCAAAGACCATTGTGACGACCGGTGTACGTAGCGATGGAGCGGTCCATGCATGGGTATCATAGAGTCTGTGCTCCATCTGATAGACATCACAGATGCCCACCCACGGCCTCACCACGACACAAATGCAAGCCGTGCGGGCGACGATGAGCTTCATGTCTAGTAGGCCGTACTCGCTTGAAGGAGATCTCGCTGCTGCTGCCTGGATGGATGGATGGTGGCGTCGCGTCAGAGCATCTCGCCGACCAAGTACCGGTAGCCCGTTTACTGGCCTTCTCGGCGCTGCGAGCGCGCAACGGAGAAAACAGTGGTGGCGACGTGGGTTCCATTTGGGTGGCGCTTCTGGTACGCGGCGCAACATGCGGTTGCAGGAGGGCCCATGCACCCAACTTCTTGGCCGACGTCGTCGCCATGGCCCTCTCGCTGCCATGCTGGTGCATCGATTGCATGTCCCTCGCCATGAGTCATGCAGGGTCAGCGCGACGATGACGGCGAAGGGATGCGTCCGTCGTGATTACCAAACGCGCTCCCACTCGTCTCACTTGATGTGCCACTGACTGCGCCGATCCAAGTGCAACGCTGCGCGCATTGTGATTGGTCCGCGCCTGCTTGGCAGTGTTTGATTGGCTAATATCCTGGTGAGTGGAAATCTTCCTTGAAGTCGTGGACGGTATACAAATGCCAAATGAAATGCAATTCGGACTTGTGGTCATTTTCGCTTTTGCCCCGCTCGAGAAAGATGCTCGCGATGAAGAAGCTCGTGGCCGCGCTCCCCGCGCGCCAGCTCCGCGCGTCCTCCACCGCCAGCCTCCAGGTACATCCTCATGATGATCATGATGATGGAAGCGAGGATGTGAGGTTGACGGCGGTATGTGCGCACTAGTGGGCCAAGGACATGAACAAGCCGCTCAAGGAGACGGACCCGGTCCTCTTTGACATCATCGAGAAGGAGAAGCAGCGCCAGCGCAACTCGGTGAGCTTGATCGCGTCCGAGAACTTCACGTCGCGCTCCGTCTACGACGCCCTTGGCTCGGTCATGTCCAACAAGTACTCGGAGGGGTACCCGGGCCAGCGCTACTACGGCGGCAACAAGTACATTGACCAGGCCGAGCTCCTCTGCCAAGAGCGCGCGCTCCAAGCCTTCAACTTGAACCCGGAAGAGTGGGGCGTGAACGTCCAGTCGCTCTCGGGGTCGCCGGCCAACTTCCAGGTGTACACGGCGCTCCTCCAGCCCCACGACCGTATCATGTCGCTCGACTTGCCCCATGGCGGCCATCTCTCGCATGGGTTCCAAACAGGCACCAAGAAGATCTCGGCGACTTCCATCTTCTTTGAGAGCATGCCGTACCGCTGCGACGAGTCGACGGGCTTGATCGACTACGACACGCTCGAGAAGAACGCCGAGCTCTTCCGCCCCAAGCTCATCGTTGCCGGTACGAGTGCGTATGCGCGCCACATTGACTACGCGCGCATGAAGCAGATCGCCCAACAGGTAGCCTTGTATCTCTTGCAACGATGGTATATCTCATCGCTCGCTCCTGCAGAACAATGCGATTCTCTTGGCCGATATGGCGCACATCTCGGGCCTCGTCGCCGCAGGCGTCGTGCCGTCGCCGTTCGAGTACGCCGATGTGGTCACGACGACGACGCACAAGTCGCTCCGCGGTCCCCGTGGCGCCATGATCTTTTACCGCAAGGGCGTCCAGAGCGTCGACAAGAAGGGCAAGGGTACGTCCCTCATACACCGTAAGCACGAGATTCTCATGCATGTTGCTGTAGAGATCATGTACGACTTGGCGTCGCGCATCGACTTTACGGTCTTCCCGGGTCTCCAGGGCGGCCCGCACAACCACACGATCTCGGCCCTCGCGACTGCGCTCCTCCAGGCGCAGAGCCCGTCGTTCATCGCGTACCAGAAGCAGGTGCTCGCCAACTCCAAGGCGCTCGCGGGCCGTCTTATGGACAAGGGATACACGCTTGTCTCGAACGGCACGGACAACCACCTCTGCCTCGTCGACCTCAAGCGCTCCAAGGGCATTGATGGCTCCCGCGTCGAGTTCCTCCTCGAGAACGTCAACATGGTCATCAACAAGAACACGGTGCCGGGCGACAAGAGCGCGCTTGTGCCTGGTGGCATGCGCCTCGGCGCGCCCGCCCTCACGACGCGCGGCCTCACGGAAGAAGACTTTGTCCAGGTCGCCGACTTGATTGACGAAGGCGTCAACCTCGCGGTCGCGATCAGCAAGAAGGTCACGGGCAAGAAGGTCCAGGACTTCAAGGACTATATCACGGCCGGTAACGCGGCGACGGAAGTCGAGGCGCTTGAAGCCAAGGTCACGTCGTTCATGCGCAGCTTCCCCACGATTGGCTTCGAGGAGGAAGACATGACGTACCGCGACTAGAGTGGTGCCGCCGACTAGATGTATACAACAACAGAACAATGGCTTCGTCGTGGGTATCGTACACATACACCGACTGCACATGCGTTGATCTCAGCGGGGACGCCCTTGGAGTGAGCGAATCGCGGCAACAGGACGGCCCAAGTCTTTGCAGCCGACCTCCCATCTCGCCCACGAGTCCTAGCGACTCAAATGGTAATGAAGGGCGTTTATCTGGACGCCACCGTTGGTCCCTTGTGTTGCCTCAGAGTCACGAGTATCTAGCAACTCAGAATCTGGCGCCTTCTGGGCGACCATCCCACAAACCAAGAACACATCATCGCATCCGATTCACAAATGCATTGATTGATCCAGTCCATTTACCAGATGTATCGCTTCACGGAGCCTTGCACACGAGGCCCGTCTTTAGGTGCACGGCGACCGAAATCTGCTTGAACGTCTCGAGGAGGTCAATGCCCGAGACTGCATTGTGGAACGTGCCCTGCATGTGCACGGCGAGTTGCTCGAGGCAGACAAAGTTCATTTGGCCGAAGCCGACGAGAAAGCTCAGCAACTGGTGGCGGCTAAAGGTCGTCGCAATGTGCTGGGCCAAGTAGACACCGCTGCCGGTATTGTTGGGGTACCCGTCCGAAAAGAAGAGCACGACGGGCGTGTACGTCGCGTGCGGGTTGCGCGAGAGCACCTCGATCGCGCAGCGCAAGCCAGAGTCAAAGTCGGTGGCTTGGCCTTGGAACGGAATCGTCACCTGGAGCATCTCGTCCAGGGACCGGGCTTCGTACTCGATGCGGCCGCGCGAGCTAAACGTCACGATCGACACAATGTCGGCGCACGTCGGGCCCTTCTTGGCGCGCTGGTCGGCCAAGTAGGCGTGGACCGCGGCCGTCACATCGAGCCACGGCTGCCCCGACATCGAGCCCGACGCATCCAGCACAAACACATGATGGTCCATGCCGCGACCGGCATAATGCTTGCAGTTGAACACGTGGCCTTGCACGCGTGTGTGCCCCGGGGCGAGCGCGTCGTTCGCGCTGCTGGGCACGTGCCACGCATCCAAGACGCAGTACGACGGGTCGTCGGCCTTGTGGTCGGGCGCGTCGCACTGGAACGGGCACAAGCCAAACGCAGCACGCTCAATGGCGCTCGTGACAGGGTCTTCCCACCCGAGCAGCTTCCAGTACGTCTCGTGGAGCACCTCGTCCATGGGCTGCTTGGGGTGCGGCTCGAGCGGCACGGTGCAGTGGCGGCGGCCGTCCGACGTCGCATACACGCACTTGGCGGCCGACGGATAGTCGCACGCAATGTAGTGCACGTGGCCGCGGCCCATCTTGGCGCAAAAGAAGGGGCACATCTCGGCCACCCCGCGCTCGCCGGCCGTGTACTGGCGGCCGTCAATGTCGACGCTGGCAGAGTCCGAGACAAAGTACGTCTCCTTCATGTTGCCGTGCGACGTCTTGTGCAAATCCGCGTGGCCAAACGCCTTTTCGCAGTAGTATTGGCAGCACGGACAGCGCACCGTGCACGTGTGCACCGCCGTCGTGCACGCGTGACCGACGCCGTCGTGGTCCAGACGACCCGTCGGCAGCGACGCCGCACACTTCTTGCGCCCGCCATTCATCGCCTGGTGCGTGTACTCAAACGTGCTGCGCGCGCCGCAAAACGTCTCCGTCGTCTTCTCCAGCTGCACCTTGACCTCGCACATGCCGTCGACGGCGCACTCGGCCGCGCACAAGTGCTCCTTGCCGCACGCGTGCAGCGCGTCGGGCGCGTGAAAGTGGTCGTCGGCCGCACACCCATTGCCACAGTCGGCATAGCTGCACAGCTGCTGGCAGCGGTTCGCGCCGCAGTGGTGGCGGTCGTGGGCCAGCGCAAACGGCTGCGTGCACAAGCTGCGGCAGTTGGGCGCGGCGCAGGGGTCGCCGCAGCAGTGGAGCACCACGCTGCACGAGTGCGCGCCCTCGTGGTCGGCGGCCAAGTGGCAGCTGCCGTCGCAGTTGCTCGCGTTCGCCATCGCACAAGGCGCCGGGCACGTGTGGTCCAAGACGCCGCAGTTGCAGGCGCCCGCGTGGCCCGCCGCCGCGCCGCACGGTACAGAGTCATTCAAACAGTAGGCGCAGTGGCCCTGGCACTTGTGGTTCGTGCCGCAGTCGTGCACCACGTTGGCCTCGTGCAAAAACGACTCAAAGCAGCCGAGCTTGCAGTTGGCGCACGTGTGCTGGCAGCGGCGCAAAAACTGCTTCGTCTTGAGCACGCACGCATCGAGGCCGTCGCGCTCGTCGCGGTGCACGACGCCCAGCGCCTCAAACCAGCCGCGGACACGGTACTCGCGGCGCCAGACGACAAAGCCCCAGATCGCATCAAACCGCGCTTCCTGCAGCACCGTGCGCGGCTCGTCCATGTGGTCCAAAAACCGATGCAAATACAGCAGCAGCGTCGCCTTGGCGCTGGCCAGATTGGCGGCCACGTCGCTTTCGTTCAGGTCCAGGCCAAAGTCGAGCGTCTCGTCATTCGGCGCCACCATCTCGGGGTCCGTCACGGCCGCCTGGAACTGCGCCGTCATCGCCGCGTCGTGGTCTGGACCGAGCGACGTGCCGTCGTCGAGAACGCCGTGGCGCAGCGCGTACCGAACGTGCTGGCGCGACACCACGCTCTTGTGCGCCTGCACATTGTCCTCCATCGACGTCCAGTCGAGGAGCGCAATCTTGGCCAGCACCATGCAGAGGCACTCGTGAAAGTCGTGGCCGTTGGCATACGCCTTCGTGTCGCGCGCGTTCGTTAAGAGCGTGGCCGCCTCGGCCAGCGCCTCGTAGTAGCCCTTGTTGCCGAGCGGCGGGCAGCACGTAATCACCACGTCGCCGCCATACATGGCCGAGACAAAGTTGTCGGCCGTGTTTTCGCTCAAGAGCACCGAGAGCTTCGACTCAAACTCGGCCACCACCGACGCTTGGTCGTTCGGGTTGACGTCCTTGGCGTTCAAGTAGAGCTGCCCGCGAAAGAGGCGCTCGTCGCCCTTGAGCAGCGCGACGCCTTGCTGAAACTTGGCAAACATGCCGTCAATGTCCTTGTCAAAGCGCATCTCAATGCGAAACACCGTGAGGCGCGAAATCGCCGCGTTGAGCACCGAGAGAAACGTGTCTTCCTGCGCCGACCGCTCAAACGACCCGGGACCCTCGAAGTCGAGCACGACCACGAGGCAGCGACCGAGACGACGCAGCGTCAGCCACACGCCGTCCGTGCAGCGCGCGCCCGAGATCGCAAACGAACTGCCCGTGAGGTGGTTCAAAAAATACGATTTGCCCGTCGACTGCTTCCCCATCGACGTGAGCACAACGACAGGACCCGTCCACGCCTGCAGCACGTGGCTCGCTGGACCAAAGCCAATCTGCGGCGCCAGCGTGTGGGCTTCCGACCCACCGGTAAACGTGGCCGTCACGCCGTCCCGTAAGAGCACCAGCTGGTTGTCGTGGGCGCGGCAAATGGGCACGGGCACAAAGCCAACCAGCTCGAGGATCCATGGCGCGAGGGCCATCGTCGGCCACACCAGCGACGCGCTGCCGACCTCCACGTCCTTGGCCAGCGAGAGCGTCGACAAGTCCTTGTTGAGCGCCAGCAGCTTGGCCATGACGCCGTCCAGCACGACCGAGAGCACGTTGCGGCGCGCTGGTGTCTCTGCAAGCACGTGCAGCTGCAGCGCGTGCGGCAAGAGCCCGCCATCGTCGTCCATCAAGGCGCGGACCGGAAACTTTTCAAACACGTGAAAGAGCGCCCAGAGCACGTGCGCTTCGCCAGCCGTCGCGGGCGCCGCTTCCTGCGCACACTGCAGCTGCCACGCCACCTTGCCCGTCACGACCGTCATCTTGAGCTCCACGACGAGCGCCGTGGTCGGGTCCAACAGCACAATCGTGTCGGCGTAGGCGCGGGCCTGCGTCGCCGGCCAGTTGAGACGCGCCGGCAGCGTCAGCTCCGCCTCGGGCAGCGGCGCGTGGTCGTGCGTCATGAGCGTCTGCACGCGCACGAGGCCATTTCTTCGGGCACGAGGCAGACCACAAACGCGCCGTCGTGCAGCTTGAGCACCTTCGTGCTGGGGGTCGCCACAAACTGCGGCACGTGCTTGGAGAGCTGCTGCGTGCGCAGAAAATACGACTGCGCGCTGCCGTCCTCGCCCGCGCAAAAGACGCCGTGGTTGTCGCCGCCAAACACAAAAAACTGCGTGAACGGCGGCGTCGGCCGCAGCAGCAGCAGGTTGACTTGGTGCACGCGCTCCAGCAGCTTGTACGACTCGTTAAACGCAAACAGCTCGACCTTGTGCGTCGAGTGCAGCAGGCCGAGCATGCGGTGCGTCGCGTCAAAGTCGCAGCGCTCGACCAAGTGCGGAAATTGCTTCAAAAGAAGCTGCGTCATCGCTCGGCGCCCGTGCGACTGGAACGCGCGCACATGCGTCTTGCCGTCGAGCGTATAGACGACGACCACCACGGTGCCAACGACAGCTACAAAGACGACCGACGCCTCGAGCGGCAGCTTGAGCTTGGCGAGCGCATCGCCGCGCAGCGGCGTCAGCTGCAGCATCGTGGCGCCACCGGCCACGTGCTGCTTCGAATAGCTCACGCGAGCGTTGGTCGCGTTCGTGATCGTTGTCGTCATCACGGTGGAGGAGCCGTCGTGGGCAGCATTCTTCTCGTCGACCGCCGAGACAAAGGCTTCGTGCACAATCGCCTCCTTGATCGCACGCAGCTGGGCTTGGTGGTCCTTCTTGCGGCCCTCGATGGCAACGACGTGGCTCACAATGATGTCGAAAACGACCTTGTCGTGCAAAAACCGCTTGAGGTCATGGCACCAGTGGTCGTGGTGCGACTGGAGCGCGTTCCGGATCTTGGGCAGAATCAGGCGCATGGGGGCCGCGTTGGCTGCACTGAGAAACGGAAACGTGAGGGGCACAAAGGCGTCCCCGCCGAAAAAGCCCATGAACGACCCCGTCAAAGCTTGCGCAAACGACTTCTTGCCCGTCATGCGTGGATCCATGCGCAGCAGCTGTCGGTACTCAACATTGATCGCGTGCGCAACGCTGGCGGCAAAGTACAAGCACATCGGCAGCTGCATCGCACTGCTGAGGTGCTCCTTGAGCAGCGCAAAGTCGGCCACCATCGCCGTGTGGGCAACCATTTCCGCCGCCTCCGACGGCTCGTCCGTAATGTAAAAGAGGTACGCAGCGTTGCGGAGGCATCGGACTTGAAGCTCGTCCAAATGATGCGCCACGTTGGCAGCCACGTCGGCACGAAACTGGTCCTGCAGGCTGGCAAGCGTCACGTCTCCGAGCATCGCCTCGGGAAACACGTCCCACGCCTGCAGCGCTGCCTTCATGAGCGGACGGGGGATCGCAGTGCGC